TTCTTGACTTTAAGAAAGCCGACTTCATAAAACTTAGGGAAGTGCTGGGTGAGATCCCATGGACAGTAATACTAAAAGGAAAGGGAGTTCATGATGGCTGGGAGTTTGTTAAGAGGGAGATAGTAAAAGCACAACGTCAGGCAATACCAATGAGACGGAAACATGGAAGGTGCCTAAAGAAGCCAGGGTGGCTATCTAAAGAACTTTTAACTGAGTTAAGATTAAAAAAGATGTGTACAAAAAATGGAAAAGGGGGGAAACCACCAAAGAGGAATTCAAACAAATAGCCAGCACATGTAGACACAAAGTCAGAAAAGCTAAAGCACAGAATGAACTCAGGCTTGCTAGAGAGGTTAAAAGCAACAAAAAGGCTTTTATGGGTATGTTTGTAGCAAAAGGAAGAACAAAGAAACAGTGGGGTCACTCAGAGGAGAAGATGGTGAAATGCAAACAGGGGACACAGAAAGGGCTGAACTCCTCAATGCCTTCTTTGCCTCAGTCTTCTCCGATAAAGAAAACAATGCCCGACCTGAAGAATTTGGAGCAAATGATTCAGCAGAGGAAACACAGCCCAGAATAACTAAGGAGATAGCACAAGAATACTTGGCTAGTTTAGATGTATTCAAGTCTCCAGGGCCAGATGAACTGCATCCAAGAGTATTAAAAGAACTGGCAGATGTGATCTCAGAACCACTGGCAGTCATCTTTGAGAATTCCTGGAGAACAGGCAAAGTCCCGGCAGACTGGAGGAGGGCAAATGTTGTCCCTATTTTCAAAAAGGGGAAAAGAGAGGACCCAAATAATTACCGCCCAGTCAGTCTGACATCAATACCAGGGAAGATTCTGGAGCAGATAATTAAGCAAACAGTCTGTGAGCACCTGGAAAGGAATGCTGTGATCACCAATAGTCAGCATGGATTTCTGAAAAATAAGTCATGTCAGACTAACCTGATCTCGTTTTTTGACAGAATTACAAGCCTGGTAGATGAAGGGAACGCAGTGGATGTAGCCTACCTTGATTTCAGCAAGGCATTTGACAAGGTGCCCCATGATATTCTTGTAAAGAAGCTGGTAAAATGCGGTCTTGACTATGCTACCATTCAGTGGATTTGTAACTGGCTGACTGACCGAACCCAAAGGGTGCTCATCAATGGTTCCTCTTCATCCTGGAGAAGAGTGACTAGTGGGGTGCCACAGGGTTCTGTCTTGGGCCCGGTCTTATTCAACATCTTTATCAACGACTTGGATGATGGACTCAAGGGCATCCTGATCAAATTTGCAGATGACACCAAATTGGGAGGGGTGGCTAACACCCCAGAGGACAGGATCACACTTCAAAACGACCTTGACAGATTAGAGAACTGGGCCAAAACAAACAAGATGAATTTTAACAGGAAGAAATGTAAAGTATTGCACTTGGGCAAAAAAATGAGAGGCACAAATACAAGATGGGTGACACCTGGCTTGAGAGCAGTACATGTGAAAAGGATCTAGGAGTCTTGGTTGACCACAAACTTGACATGAGCCAACAGTGTGACGCGGCAGCTAAAAAAGCCAATGCAATTCTGGGCTGCATCAATAGGAGTATAGCATCTAGATCAAGGGAAGTAATAGTGCCACTGTATTCTGCTCTGGTCAGACCTCACCTGGAGTACTGTGTCCAGTTCTGGGCACCACAGTTCAAGAAGGACACTGACAAACTGGAACGTGTCCAGAGGAGGGCAACCAAAATGGTCCAAGGCCTGGAAACGATGCCTTATGAGGAACGACTAAGAGAGCTGGGCATGTTTAGCCTGGAGAAGAGGAGGTTAAGGGGTGATATGATAGCCATGTTCAAATATATAAAAGGATGTCACATAGAGGAGGGAGAAAGGTTGTTTTCTGCTGCTCCAGAGAAGCGGACACGGAGCAATGGATCCAAACTTCAAGAAAGAAGATTCCACCTAAACATTAGGAAGAACTTCCTGACAGTAAGAGCTGTTCGACAGTGGAATTTGCTGCCAAGGAGTGTGGTGGAGTCTCCTTCTTTGGAGGTCTTTAAGCAGAGGTTTGACAACCATATGTCAGGAGTGCTCTGATGGTGTTTCCTGCTTGGCAGGGGGTTGGACTCGATGGCCCTTGTGGTCTCTTCCAACTCTATGATTCTATGATTCTATGGTGGGCAAACCTGTAAGACAATTCAATTGCAAGTGATAAGGAGGAGGAGCCGGGACGAATGTGACTTTTGTAGGCTGTTGAGCGCCAGCGGCCCAGTGTCTTGAAGTGTGCAGGGTCCCAACCCTGTATTGCCACTGAAGTGGCAGCCCCGATACGGAACAAGTGCCCGGAATATTCCTGGGGACTAACACCGCAAGCAGATAAGGCTTTGCGTAAGAACAGCAAAACAGGCTTGAGCCCAGGAGTCAGCCTTTTTTGGCCTTAGGCCCACCGTCCATTGCCCTCCCTGGCCGAGGGCGGGTCAAATGCCAGCTCAAGCAGGTGGGTGGCACCTGCCCAGGTGAGCCTCGCTCGGTGCCACAAACCCTGCCCACCTGTGGGGAAGGGAGGGCGGATATTCCTTCAGAGATCTTTGGAAAGCTTTGTTGGTTTGCTTAAACAGGCATCATGATTTTAACCAATGAGTATTGCTTGATATTCATTGACATTTTCATGGATCTTTTGTTGATTCTCCCTTCTTCATTTTCCCACTTGCTATATTGCTACAAAGGGACGCGGGTGGCGCTGTGGGTTAAACCACAGAGCCTAGGACTTGCCGATCAGAAGGTCAGCTTCACCTGGAAACCCTGATTCCCCTCCTCTGCTACCGTTCTACATTAAGAACACAAGAAGAGGCTGCTGGATCAGGCCCATGGCCCATGGAATACTGCTGCCCTATGATAGAGGGGATCTGGGTTTCCAGGTGAAGCTTGGCAAAACTGAATGGAGCATTTTCCAAAACCTTGCCCCAGCCTTTTGCCTTGCAGCCATGCTCAGCTCCATGCCCCTCTGTCTATGGAGCGCAACCTTCTTCCACTTCAATCAGGCCTTATATCTCATGATGGTTGCTTAAGAACAGAAGAAAAGGCTGTGCTGGGTCAAGCCAATGACCCATCTAGTCCAGCCTCCTGTTCTCATAGTGACCAACCGGATGGCCGTGGGAAACCAGCACCCAAGCACATGAGCCCTCCCCGCTCCTGAGGTTTCCAGCAACTGCGATTCAGAAGCATGGAGGCAGAGCAAAGCATTTCGCATGCGCAGAGGTATTTGTCTGCTTGCGCATGTGAGGAAACGCTTGTATCGGGTGGTCTGCCAGAAACAAAAGGGTCTCCTTGTGCTCAAGTTAGGAGCAAACGCAAGGAGCAGGTGTGGCAACAAGAGAGCAATCAACAAAATAACCCCCCCCCCCAAAAAAACCCCCAGGGGTAGACTTTTGTGATATGGCGCCCTGAGCTAGGAAACAGCAGGGCTTGAGCTGACCTCTTTGAATTCCGAGGTGCCGGAAGAGAGCCCAGCTTCCATCTGCCGTAAGGCCTATTATGGGCTGGCACTGAAGTCACAGTGGCCTCTGCCAAAGCTGGCTTCTTCGAAGTACATTTACAAGCCATTCTGAGGCTGCCTACCCAGAAGCTCAAAAGTGGTTACAACTTCTTCTTTTTTTACAATTATATTTTATTGTTTCAATATTTTAAAAATCATTTACAGTCAAAACACAATTTTGACTTTTCTCTTAATTTTCGTCAACTTCCCACCCTGTTTTCCATGGAGTTGTTGTTTCTCTCCTGCTGCACCCCGTCTTCTGTTTGTCAAATCATAACCCCAGTATCCAATTACTTATGTTGCTCATAGCTCAAATCCTCCTTACGAGTTCAGCATACTATAATCCGAAAAAGGCCTATTTGTCCACAAAACTGCTAATTTTGCTAGTTCTGCATAGTCCATTATCTCACTTATCCCTTCTTTGGAACTTCTTTTTCCTTCCATTTCAGCACATATAGAATCCTAGCTGCTGCTGTTACATATAGAAACATCTTTAACTAATTATATCGAATAGCAGGTCACCACAACCAAAAACTGCAGTATCTAGCTCACCATTGCAATGATAAACTCTAAAAATATAATTGAGACAAGACATTTTAAGGAAAATTCATCAGAAACTATTCACTTTGGTTGTTGTTAGTGGCTGTGGACATGCCATAACATTACAGCACATGACTCCTTCCCCCCGAGAATCATGGGAACTGTAGTTTACCTCTAAACACAGTGCTATAGGTCCCAGTGCAACACATGCCTGGCTTATCCTAGAGATCACTGTGTGCAAAATTTGCGATGCCACTTGAGCCTAATATTTACCCTGCAATGCCAACCACCTTTGCCCAGCACAATGTACGACCCCCTGGACTCAGCTCTTCAAAAATTATTAGAATTTATACTAAGAAACAGGAGAGTGTTCTGGAAGGAAGGATATTTTAAAATGACTGGAAGATCAGAATTATGAAATGGGGGGGAAACTTGGGGAAAATATATTTAAAAAACTCTTCCAAAAATCCCTTTAAAAGAATCAAGTCTGAAAAAAAAAAAGGCCTAACATTTTTTAAAAGAATCCTTTCCAAAAAATTAAAAAATTGTACAGTAGCCCCTTAGAGGTAGGTAGTTGGTCTACCTAGCTGAATCTGGGGGGAAGCAAGAGAGAAGAACGCAGGAACAAGTGAAAGAAGCTTTCTCCCGACAGCCAGAACATGGAAAGGCCTCCCCAAAATTTTTAGTTTGGAATGTATAATTGGCTTTATTGTTTGTATTATGATGTGGCAAGATTTGATTTGATTTGTTATCATTAGAATGTTACTAATGGAGAATTAATTTTAAAAATATTCAATCCATTAAGAAGTTCTTAGTTCATCTTCAGTGAAGGTTTGCTGGATCATAAATCAGCAAATAGAATGTAAATAGAAAAAGAGATGAGCAAGAGGTCTGCTTTCCACTGACATCATCATTCCATCATGTTGTCATAGTGCTGTGACCTCATGTCTCCAGGGGCTTGGGGGCCCTTAGCAACGCTGGTACACAGCGACCTCCATAGAGAGTGAGTGTGTTTTCTCTTTCTCCCCAAAGTCAGTGTGGTATATTTAGTTTTAATTTGGCATTTGTGTTCCCTTTGAATAAGAATAAGAATAAGAATAAGAATAAGAATAAGAATAAGAATAAGAATAAGAATGAGAATTTTTTATTTGTATCCTGCCCTCCCTGGCTGAGGCCGGGCTCAGAGCGGCTAACATCATAAAAAAACCCCAGGAAGGACCTTTTAGGCAGAATTTTGTTCCAAAGCCAGAACCATTCAGCTCTTTCAGGGGCTGGCCAGGGTAAAATGTAGAAATTGGAGACAGAGGCCTGTTCAGAGCTATTTGTGGTGGTGTCATTACAACCCATGGAATTCCTTACTAATTAAACGTCTCCCTGATTTCACAAGAGGAATAACCATGCTCTATATAGCTCATGTCTGGGAAAAGGTGGCATTTTCCCAAGGTCTTACCATGAGGGTGCAGTAAATGAGAATTGGCCCCTAACAGCTTGCTTGGTTCCCTCCCCTGTACGTTTTAGGCTCACGTTCCCTTTTTCTCTGGGATGCGGTACAGGCCATGATTTGGGCTGACTTCCCAGAGAGCCTCTGCTGTAAATAAAAATTGCCCTTTTCCCTTATGGGGTATCCAAGAGCCCATATAGAGTCCTTACATAGGTTCCCTATTGGTAGGAGAAGATAACAGAGGCCAACCAGAGAATATTGAGAAGCAAAGCAGCTAGTCAGCTTGATCTTTACTGATCTGTTGCAACAGGGTGCTCCCCTCACCCGCAGGATAGACGAGGAACCCAGAACAATGGTGCGCAAGGCCTTATATGGACTCTTGAAATTGCCACCCTGTAGACCAAGACCACCCCCTGGAACATCATACATACATCACAGAAGGGGTGTAACCTAAGACCACCCCTCAGATACATCACACCTACATCACAGAAAAGGTGGTCTAAACAGAAATTTAATGTTGTTTTTCTTCTTGTTTATCTCCTGTCTGGCAGGTTACTTGATTGGATTGCCTGGGGAGCCTGGCCAGTCTTTTGTAATGATAAATACTTAGTTCCTGGGCCAGGTCACAGGCTCACACCCTATTCATACACAGACATACCCTTAAGACAGGATTTGTGAAGGAAATGACAATGGGGAGGCTTTTCCAGTTTGACCTTGCAGAGAAAACATTTGCTCAGGTTAGGAATCAAAATGGCTTCAGGTCCGTCTTCCTGTGCTGATCTATGTACGTGCGCCTATCACACCATCACATGAGCGGTGTGAGTTTTTCAACCGCATTCTAAATCACATACAGCATTACCAAACCAATAAACAGAATATCCAGTCAATCTTCAGTACCTATAAAAGAACTTAAGGGATAGGACCAGAAGCATTAGCCTCATCCTTAGGATCAGAAGCTGAGGCTCCCACAGATGAGAGTTGTTGTTTTCAACACAACAAAGCCACTTCCGAACCTGGCGAGAAGTTGGGGTTGCGGGCTTCACGCCCACTCCATGTGCGCGGGGGCTGGTTCCAGCCCCCGTGAGACCGAGGGAATCCCGGCCGCGTCGTTGGGTGGCTGGGGGGCGTAGCCTGCCCTATTTAGGGCTGGCGCGGCCGGGGCTCGCCCTCTTTTCGCCTCGCCAGCCATCCCACTTTGGTTTGTATTAAGGTTGTTTTGTCTCTTGCTTACCTTTTCTTTAGGCTGTGTATCTCAATTCCTTCGGTGATCGATTTTCACTTGGATTTACCCGTGCATCGGTGTTGTGCCTCCCATTGGATTGCCTGCCTCAAGCCCGCCTGTGTTCCAGGCAGCCGCTTCGGCAGCCAGAGCCATTTAGCTCCAGAACAGCAGGGCTGAAACCGTGCCGGAAAACCCCATCAAACCGGGTGTTCCCTTCTCTCTGGGTGGCTTCTCTGCAGTGGAGCTTTGCGGAACGCGGTTTGCACGTTCAGCGCCAGCCCATCGCTGTTTAGTCCTTTTACTCGGAAGCGCACAGCTCGCCCCACGGATCAGGTTTGGCTGGGGGTTCTTATTTCTAGCCGCATTCACAGGGTGGTGGGGCACCTTTAACGTTTGTGGGGGGCTTGGTGGAGCAAAAGGAGGGAGACTTAAAAGGACACGTCTTTGTCGCTACCCCTTTGCATTTGGTACTGGCCGCGTTGCCTTTGCGTTCCAACGGTTGCTTCTTCACCATTATACCTTTCCAAGAACTTTAGCCAGACTTCCAGATCGGATTTTACCTCTTTAGATAGGCGAACCCTGTGATGGGGTGACCGCAAGCCTGCTGACAACCTCGCGAGGCGGCTGCAAAATGGGCGGCCTGGGGAAACCACTCAGCAAGCAAAGTTCAAATGGCCTAACAACGACTGAATCTGCCTGAGCGTAACTTTTCTTAGAGGGAGAAGTTGCTGAATGAGGTCCCTAAGCGCAACCAATTTTTCACTAGGAAGTTTTGAGGTTTGGGTGACTGTGTCCAACTCAATGCCTAGGTAAACCATAGTTGTAGCTGGGCCCTCCATTTTATCTGCAGCCAAAGGTACTCCCAGCTCTCCTGCTAAAGATGTGAAGGCTTCCAGAAGGGCCGAGCACTTATGCCTACTATCAGCTACGAGAATAAAGTCGTCCAAGTAGTGCGACACACCCTCAGAGCCAGTTCTAAAACGAAGCGCCCAGTCCAAAAAGGTACTAAATGCCTCAAAGGCTGCACAGGCCACTGAGCAACCCATAGGCATTGCTTTGTCTACAAAGTAAGTAAATGTAAAGGTACCCCTGCCTGTACGGGCCAGTCGTGTCCGACTCTGGGGTTGCGCGCCCATCTCACCTTTAAAGCCCTATACGGCCTAGGACCCTCGTACCTACGGGACCGCCTCTCCTGGTATGCCCCACAGAGGAACCTACGGTCTGCAAATAAAAACATCCTGAAGGTCCCAGGCCTCAGAGAGGTTAGGCTGGCCTCAACTAGAGCCAGGGCTTTCTCGGCTGCGGCTCCAATCTGGTGGAACGCTCTGTCACAAGAGACTAGGGCCCTGCGGGACCTGACATCTTTCCGCAAGGCCTGCAAGACAGAGTTGTTCCACCAGGCCTTTGGTCAGGGCCCAGCCTGACTCCCTCCTCTGGCAACCTGCACAGAACTTTGCTTAACGGTTGCCATTAATTTGATTTCAATTAATTTTTATAATGAAATGTTTTAGAATGTTGGATTATTTGATTGTTTGATTATTTGTTTGTTGTTAGCCGCCCTGAGCCTGGCTTTGGCTGGGGAGGGCGGGATATAAATAAAATTTATTATTATTATTATTATCTCGCTTAAGAGGCCAGGGGCCAGCGCTGTCCGGAGACACTTCCGGGTCACGTGGCCAGCGTGATGAAGCTGCTCTGGCGAGCCAGCACCAGCACAGCACACGGAAACGCCGTTTACCTTCCCGCTATAAAGCGGTACCTATTTACTTACTTGCACTTAAGAGTGCTTTCGAACTGCTAGGTGGGCAGGAGCTGGGACCGAATGACGGGAGCTCACCCCGCCACGGGGATTCGAACCGCCGACCATACGATCAGCAAGTCCTAGGCGCTGAGGTTTTACCCACAGCGCCACCCGCGTCCCGTGTCTACAAAGTATGCCCTGTCAAATTTAAAACCCAGCCACCGGAAATCTTCCGGGTGGACTGGCAGGAGTCAGAAAGCAGACTCTATATCACATTTCGCCAGCAATGCGCCTTTTCCAAATTTGCGAATAAGTTTAACCGCTTGGTCAAAGGAGGCATACCTCACAGAGCAAAGTTCCTGAGGTATCGCATCATTGACGGACCCTCCCTTTGGGTAGGATAGGTTGTGAATCATGCGAAACTCACCGGGTGCCTTTTTGGTGATGATGCCTAATGGGGATATATGCAAACCCTCTATGGGAGGGATGGAAAAGGGGCCGGCTACCCTCCCTGCCTTAATTTCTTTAAGTATTTTCTTGCGCGCCACTTCAGGCATCTCTCTAACTGATTTCTGATTTGGTGGGTCACCTGAATTGGGGGGGAAAGCAACTGGGATCCTAAAACCTAAACTAAAACCTTCCCAGAGAAATAATGCAGCTGTTCTGTTGGGATAGAGATCCAAAAGGGTTTTTAAGCTCACGTACCCTTTTTCTCTGGGATGCGGTGCAGGCCGTGATTTGGGCTGACTTCCCAGAGAGCCATCACATGAGCGGTGTGAGTTGTTCAACCACATTCTAAACGACACACAGCATTACCAAACCAATAAACAGAATATCCCGTCAATCTTCAGTACCTATAAAAGAACTTCAGGGATAGGACCAGAAGCATTAGCCTCATCCTTAGGATCAGAAGCTGAGGCTCCCACAGATGAGTTGTTGTTTTCAACACAACAAAAGGGATGGCGTTTCACTCCTGCATCTGCTGGAGAACCGCCCCCCCTTTTCTAACTAACTGAAAGTACAACCTGGGAATATACACAGAAGCCCAAATGATTATTTGGAGGCGGAACAGGTACTGCTCGCAGCTGATGGGGTGCGGCTCTTCCCATGCACCGGCTTCTTTAGAGCGGATCGGTGTCCTGAAGCGACTGTCTGTGGTCCATGCCTTCCCATTTCTCCGGGGGGTGGGGGAGAAGCCAGGGAGTGAAGGAGGTGAGGACAGGTGACCCCCCTAGGCCCGAAGTCACCCCAGGCCTCAAAACCAAATTTCCCCTTTCTCTCGTCTACAACAGCTTTTCTCTGCTCTTCTCTGCTTTCTCACAAGATGCTGCTGCATTAGCAAAAGGTTATTTTTTATGAGTACAAGAAGGCTTCAAAAAGCTAATGAATAGGCTCTGTCAATGCCAGGAATAAGCAGGTCTGGGAACTGAGTCTTATCTCATCCAGTTGCAACACATCTTGGACATGCTGAACGCAAGGCTTCTCAACCCCCTTGGCTTCTCATCCCCCTTTCCTGGGAAGGGCGCCAAGAGTCCCAAGAGTCCCAGGACAGGAGCTTTCTGTTCATGAGACTTCCGGGTTGGTGCCTCCGGTAATGGCGGAATTCCTCTGATCGGGAGGAATTTGCCCCTTGGGAATCTGGGTCTGGCCGCCACGGCGAAGGCGGAGACCCACAAAAAATCACAGGCGGGAGAAGCCTGTGAATGTGGGATTCGGCGGGCACCCTTTGCGCCTCCCCTACTCGTGGGGAAACCCGGTTTCGGGGGTCCGGAGCGACGTGGGGTGAGTGGTGCGGTGCTTCGAATCGTCTGCTCCTTCCACGGAGCGAAGCAGCATAGCTGTTGCCGGAGAGCGCTGACTTTTTCCTGTGGACAATTTGTCTTCAAAGTAATTACCTGTAAGTAGAGCTGAAGCGGGAGAACTGGATTTTTAAACGTTTAATTTGGTATCGTAACGGGGAGGTTCAATACAGGAAGTCCGCCTTCCCCTTTTGTAAATAGACTGAAGCAATGAGGCTGCAAGCTGAAGTCTTGGAAAGCCTTTTGTAAAAGACTAAATTTCCATCGGTAAAGAACATTAAACCCCCCCTTGGAGGCAGGAGAAGAGGGGGGGAAGTTGTGGACTGAGTATGCCTGCAGGAGAGAGCGAAGAGAGCTAAAATACCGCCGCTCCGACCCTGGGAACGGGCTGCTAGCAGGACTGACATCTTTTGGAATGTTCATTGACAGTGTTTAGAACATTCATTGACAGCTAGCTAAATAAGAGAAATACATTGTTTCTACTGTCTCCGGCTGCTTTTAAAAAAGGAGTAAAAGTAACTGAAAACTGAAACTAACTTTGGATTGTTTGAACTGTGTTTAAAAGAGGACATTACTGACTAATATAAAAAGAAACTACAGCAACTTGACTTCTCCAACACAGCTTCTTGTGCAAGAGGACCGTGTTCAGGCCTAGCCCTAGCTATTCCACCCCCTGAAGGGATCCCTCTATACTGCTTCACAATTTCTTCGGAGACTAAGCGAAGGGCTTTTACCTGTGCCCGTCTAAACTGTTTTCCTACAGCAGTTCTGTCGGGTCGTTATTCCAGAGTTCCCATCGCAAACAGAACATGCTCCTGTAATGACACGGCCCTGGAGACTATGGAACATGTAATGCTCTTCTGTCCCAACTGGACAGATGAAAGATCTCGGTTTTAACTCCCCTCGTGAATAAGTTCCATCTCCCAATCCAGCCTTGGATAGTGTCCCTCTTTTTGCAGGATTCTGATTGTTGGATTACTGAGATGACAGCTAACTTCCTGCTTAGTGTGATGAAGAGGAAAGCGGCACTAACTTCTTCCTTAACACCACAGATGCAGTCGATACGCCGCACAACCGAGCGAAGTTCAAAGTAGCCTTATTGTACAAGGACAATCGAGTTGGGACTAATCTGAGGAGCTGAAGGACCCTTTAACGGTCCTCCTCCAGCCTCAGCAGCTTTTTTTTTTTTTTTTCACTTTCTTTAAGTATTCGCCCAGGACGATGTCTACCTCTACCTCCCCACCCCCATTTTATGTTGTTATTTTAATGTATATCATGCTATGGCCACTCGGCTAATGCAATAAATAAATCTATCATACCCAAATAGAAACTGTTTCCCCCTAGTAGAAGCCTTTGAACTGGTGACTTTACAAGAGCTGGGCTAGGGGAATTTCCAGCTGCAAGATAAAAACTCTGAGACTCTGGGACTGACCTTGAATCTTTTAAGTGTTATGGCAAATGGAAAGGAAAAAAACAGACCAGTTAACTGCTGAAAAAACATTAAGGTCTGGGAGAACTTGGCAGCAACCCAGGAGAGGCTCAACACCAGGCCTCCCTGCTGCTTCTTCTGCTGCTTCTGCACCAGTACAATCAAATTCAAGAGGAATGTCGACAGAAGAGGCCTTAGCGGTTGCATTAAATAAGATAAATGATTCATTGGAACAGCTTAATAAGAAAGCGGATGTGACAAATGCGAAAGTGGATGCTGCAACTATTAAAATCGACTTAAATACAGAAAGTATAAATAACCTGGGACAAAAGGTGAACACCAACATAGAAACCATCCAGAAACTGATACAGGAATCTACTTTGATACGGCAGACTGCGGAGGAAGCTAGCGAGAAAGCCATTGCTGCTGAATGTAAAGTAACACAACTGGAGAGAGAGTCCCAGCCCTACAGAGGCAACTTGATGAACATAAGTTGACGCTTGCTATGATTGAACTTAAAGAAAAACAGATGAATCTGAGGATTAGAGCTCTACCCGAATTGGAGAAGGAAAGTTTGACAGACTTTCTCACACAGGAATTTGCTGACTTTTGGGACTTGGACTTGGGTCAAGAAGAGTTTAGAATTGTGAGGGCCTTCAGACTTGGAAGAGGAGGGGAAAAAAGAGAAGAATAGAATAAGAGACTGCTTGATCACCCTTCAAACTAAAGAAGAGAGAGATAGAATCTTGAGCTGGCACTACCAGAAGAACTTAGAAGTACAACAGTCAAGAGTGGAAATTTTTAAAGACGTCCCGAAACATCTTTTGGATCTTAGGCCTAACTACGGAGATATTTTTGCTCTGCTGAGAAGGAATAAAATCATCTTTAGGTGGGAGTTTCCCCAAGGTCTATCGTTCAATTTCAAAGGAAGGAAAATAAAAATAAGATCAGTAGAAGAGAAAGTAAAGTTTTTGTATAAATACGAAGAAGATCTGCAGAAGGAACTTGGAAAAGAGCCAAGAGCGTTGGATAGAAGATCACCAGATAGAGGACTAGAGCAAGGAGCATCGGATAGAAGATCACCAAACAGGGTAATATTGGATATATCAGCATTATCCTTTGGATTGGATCTCCCAGTGAACGTGTCACCACCACCACCAACAAAAGAAGAGCAAGCATTGGGTGCAGTTGGAGGAATATCAACGTAATTACATGATGGCGTTGCAGGTTTTGAGCTGGAATGTGAATGGACTGAACTCTCCAGAAAAAAGGCGGAGAGTCTTTCATTTATTGAAAAAAGAACATTTGGACTTGATTTGTTTACAAGAAACACATATGATAAGGCTACACAGGAAAATATAGAGTAATAAAAGACTGGGCCAAGAATTTATCTCATCAGACAAAGTTAAAAAAAGAGGAGTGGTCCTTTATGCAAAGGAGAGCCTATCACCGAAATTCATATTCAAAGATGACCAAGGAAGATTTGTTGCAATTGAAATTCAATCACAAGGAGAGAAATTTCTGATCGTAGGTATTTATGCACCAAATGAAGGAAAATCGGAGTTCTTTAAGAAGCTACATGAGACTCTGATGGACTACATGGACTATAATATGATCTTGATGGGAGACATGAATGGAGTGGTGTCTACAAATATGGACAAGGCACAGAGACAGGTAGTCACCAAAGATGGCAGACTACCAAAAACCTTTTTCGACATGACTGAAAATTTGGATTTAGTTGACATTTGGAGAATGAAGAACCCTCTGGGAAGAGAGGGAACTTTCTTCTCTGAGGCTAAAGTGACATGGACAAGAATTGACCAAATCTGGGTAACCAGGGGATTGGCTCCGAAGATCAGCAAAGTGGAGATTTGCCCCAAAACTTGTTCTGACCATAATGCCGTGAAGATGGAAATGAAATTGATGCCAATTGGTTCCTTTAGATGGAGGATGAACGATACTTTGTTCAGGAATGAAGAGGTGACCAAAAAGGCCCAAAAAACTCTAAGAGACTATTTCAAGATAAACATGAATACTACAGTGGAAAAAAGAGTGATTTGGGACGCAAGCAAAGCGGTTATGAGAGGATTATTAATACAATAGAATGCAATTAAGAAAAGAACTCAGAATGAAAAAAAGGATAAAATCCTGGGGAAAATAAAGGAAGGAGAGAAGAAACTGAGAGCAAAACCAAAGTCACAGGAGATCTTGAAAGAGATAAAGTTATACCAAGTACAATATATGAAGCTGATGAATCAGGAAATAGAATGGAAGATTAAACAGATGAGGCAAAAGACATTTGAATCGGCAAATAAGTGTGGAAAATTGTTGGCCTGGCAAATGAAAAAAAGACAAAAACTCAATACTATTACGAATTTGGAAGTGGAAGGAAAGAATATACAGAACCCAGTGGAGATCAGGAAGTGTTTTCAGAGGTATTTTAAACAACTTTATACACAGGAGAAGCAGAAAGAAATGGACATTGACCGATTTTTGAAAATAAATGTACTACATAAAATCTCTCAGGAAAAACAGCTAATGTTGAACTACAAAATAACGGATTAGGAGGTGGAAGGGGCCATTCAGAACATGCAATTAAGTAAATCTCCAGGACCAGATGGTTTGACCTCAAGATATTACAGATCTTTGAAAGAATGGTTAATACAACCATTGAAGGAAGTCTGTAATGAAATATTGGAAGGGAGAAAGGCACCAGAGTCGTGGAAGGAAGCTTACATTACACTTATACCGAAAACAGAGACTGAAAAGACACAGCTCAAGAACTACCGCCTCATATCGTTGCTTAATGTGGATTACAAATTTTTTGCAGATATTTTGGCTAAAAGATTAAAAAAGGTGTTAGTAGAAGAAATTCATAAAGACCAAGCAGACTTTCTCCCGGGCAGACACTTACTTGTCTGACAATATGAGGAATATAATTACTATTCTAGAAAAACTACAAGTGAATATCAGTACTAAGGCAGTTTTGATATTTGTGGATGCAGAGAAAGCCTTTGACAACATCTCTTGGAGTTTTATGAAGAAGAATATACAGGGGATGGGGGTAGGTCAAGGTTTTGAAAACAGTATAGGTGCAATTTATTCAGAACAAAAGGCAAAATTGTGAACAATGTAGTGACAGAAGAGTTTAAGATTGAGAAAGGGACACGACAAGGTTGCCCAATTTCTCCATTGCTTTTTATATCGGTCCTTGAGGTGTTGTTAAATATGATTAGAAAGGACAAAGAGGTTAAAGGTATACAAGTGGGAGCTAAACAGTACAAACTGAAAGCATTTGCTGATGACTTAGTATTGACTTTACAGGAGCCAGAATCTAGTACTCAAAGGGTATTGGAACTGATCCAAAAATTCGGACAGGTAGCAGGTTTTAAGTTGAACAAGATGAAAACTAAGGTTTTAGAGAAAAATTTAACTGTGAATGAGAGAGAGAAGTTTCAGGAGGAGACAGGACTAACATTGGTTAAGAAAGTGAAATACTCAGGGGTTAACATGACTGCCAAAAATGTGAATTTATAAATAAATGTGAATTTATTTAAGGATAACTATGAAAAATGTTGGATTGAAATGAAAAAGGATTTAGAAATATGGACAAATTTGAAGTTATCATTGTTAGGCCGAATTGCTGTGATAAAAATGAATGTATTGCCAAGGATGTTGTTTTTATTTCAAACATTGCAAATTTTGGATAAGATGGATTGTTTCAAGAAGTTGTTTTAATAATGCATTTGGCTGGCATGCATATTTGTGGTACGATAAGGTAAAAGCACATAAAGCGTTTAAAAATCATATTGTTAGAAAAGCATTGTTTAATGTTTGGATAAGATATAAGGATTTGTTAGAAAAGAAAACCCCAAGATGGTTGTCACCAATGGAAGCGAATGCACAGAAAAAACTCAATATGGAGGCCAAATGGCCGAAATATTGGGAAATTCTGGAACAAGATAGAGACAGAATAAAATTGCAGAGCTTTGAAAAATTGAAAAATAAAGTGCGAGATTGGCTCCATTATTACCAAATAATGGAGGCATACAATTTGGACAAAAAAGTTGGTTTCCAGGTGGAAGAATCAAAATTGGAAACAGAATTGTTAGAGCCAAAAATCAAGAATCTGTCAAGAATGTATAACTTGCTGTTGAAATGGAACACTCAGGATGAAATGGTGAAATCAGCTATGATTAAATGGGCACAAGATGTTGGACATAACATAATGATGGCTGACTGGGAACAGTTATGGACCACAGGTATGAAATTCACGGCATGTAATGCCCTAAGAGAAAATTTAATGAAAATGATTTATAGGTGGTACATGACACCAGTCAAGCTTGCAAAAATTTACCATTTGCCCGATAATAAATGTTGGAAATGTAATGAGACTGAAGGCACATTCTTTCACCTTTGGTGGACATGCCCAAGGATTAAGACATTCTGGGAGATGATTTATAACGAAATGAAAAAGGTATTCAAATACACCTTCCTGAAGAAACCAGAGGCCTTTCTCCTGGGCATGGTTGGCCAATTGGTGCCAAAGAAGGATAGAACTCTTTTTATGTTATGCAACAACAGCAGCAAGAATACTCATCGCGAAGTATTGGAAGACACAAGATTTACCCACCCGGGAAGAATGACAGATGAAGTTGATGGACTACATGGAATTGGCGGAAATGACTGGCAGAATCCGAGACCAGGGAGAAGAGTTGGTGGAAGAAGACTGGAAAAAGTTTAAAGCCAATTTCAGAAATACTGTAAAATTAATGAATGTTAGAACAATGTTGGAATGAAGTTATATGGCTCTAGTAGAAATGTTATAAGGAATTAAGTATAAATACATAATAGAGTGTTAAAGGAAAAAATAAGGTTAGAATGTGAAGATAATTATAGGATAGAAAACAGAGGAAGATGGAAAGGAATTGCTGAAACAATTAATAGAAGTGGAATACAAAAAGGGAGGTGTGAGGAGGTCATGGAAATAAGTGAATGAGAGATAAGATATTGAAATTATGTGATGTGTTTTAAACTGTTTTTGTTTTGTTTTGTTAGTTTAATGTGTTAATGTTATGTGTTAGTATTAGTATTAGTGTTATGTAGTGTTTTTGTATTGCATTGTATTGTCCATTTTTTTTCTTTTTTGTAGTGTTTAAAATGTTGGAAAAGCAATAAATATTATTATTATTTTTTTAAAAAAAGAGCTTTCTGTTCATGCTCAGGGAAACTCATAGAATCATAGAATCATAGAGTTGGAAGAGACCACAAGGGCCATCGAGTTCAACCCCCTGCCAAGCAGGAAACACCATCAGAGCACTCCTGACATATGGTTGTCAAGCCTCTGCTTAAAGACCTCCAAAGGAGACTCATGAGGCAGGACTCCTGAGGAGGGGGAGAAGGGGGAGGGAACTGGAGGGGAATATATGCTCTGTGCAAATGGCTGTGAACTTGTGCTTGTTTGTGAAGTTATCACTCTAGCTCCTTCTACCAATCCCGGATGGTAGAAATAAAGCTTTTTCTCTGAAATTATCCCTTGAGTGCCTGTTTGACTCCCCTTTCCCTCTCTCGGGTGCAATGCTCTTCCCACCCGAGGGCAAAGCCTGAAAAGGCTACAGGAGTTGTGGCGTCCTCAGGCACAGAGGTTTTCCAGGTAGCTAGTCCCAGGGTCCACTTCTGCAGGCAGCGCACCTCCACCCGCACACAAGACAAGCCGCCTGCAGGAGTCGACTCCTGCAAAGTGGCCCAGCAAGGGGAGATCCTTCCAGCAAGGTTTCAGGGCAGACCTTCAGCCAGACCTAGTCTGTCCTGGGATCCACCCATAATGAGAAAACTAAAACAAAACTATTCACACAAAAGGCAGGCCTTACATCCAGGCTTTTACTGACCGTACATTAAAAGACCTTTTCACAAGAGATATTGAAGATAATAAAACACAGCACCCAGAATTAGGAAGAGATAACCAGGCTGGAATAGTAGATCATGTCAGATCATTTTCCTCCACAAATTTTACAATATTCTTCCGCGGTATCCACTTCCTCCCCCCTTGGATCTACATGAGCTTGCTATTTCCAGGTCTGTCAAATATTTGGTCATCCTTCTCACTCTGAGTAAAAAGACTTCCTCATTTCAATGTTTACAAATAAAAATACAATACCAAATACTTTGAATCATTCCCAGATTCTGTCAATATCCAGGGTAATATTTCCCAATTGCTAAATTTCCAGCAATCAAAACTGGAATATCATATTCCAGTCTTAATAGATTACCTAAAAATGACAATTTCTTATCCAGAGATTCTATTTATTTTTTTTAAATAATTTTTTATTGATTTTTCCATGGATTCTACTTCTAACAATATATCTTTAACAATTTTTCATATTTCGACCCTCCTCCCCTGGACTTCCCTCGTACTCACATTTTGTTTTATTTCCCTATTGTTCACCTTGCGTATTTGATGTTTCCCCAAAATTTCCTCAATACATATAGTCTTATTTTTTGTTGTAGACAGTTGTGATTGTTCACTCAAACCCTGCCAATGAGTCCATTTCTTTATGTTGCCTCTTCATATATGTTGTAAATGGTTCCCTTTCTCTTTTAAAGACTTTGTTGTCCTTTTCATGTAATTTTTCTGTTAGTTTTGCCGGTTTTGCATATTCCATAAGTTTCCCTTGCCATTGTTCTTTCGTTGTTATTTCTTGTGTCTTCCAAGTTTGTGCTAATAAAATTCTTGCCGCTGTTGTTGCATACATAAATAATTTCCAATTTTCTTTTTTTACATCTTGGTCTAAAATTCCTAGAAGGAATGCTTCTGGTTTCTTAACAAAAGTCTTTTTAAACATTTTTTTGAATTCATTATATATCATTTCCCAATAATTCCTAATCTTTTTGCATCTTGCAGGATGACTTTTTTTCTAAAAAGAAAAAAGAAAAACAAGATCTACCCCTCATACGAGGATGAGGCCCCTGTCCTACTGCCGGCATTGGCGAAGCCTTCAACATCAGCCACAGAGGACAGGAGGAAAAATCAAGTTGCACCCAAAAACAAGATCTACCCCTCATATGAGGACGAGGCCCCTGTCCTACTGCCAGCATTGGCAAAGCCTACACCATCAGCGGCAGAGGCCAGGGCGGCAGAGGCCAGACCCCTAGTCTTGCCAGGGCTGGCGCAGCCCCGGACCAGCAAGCAAGACCCAAGCCAGCAGCGGCCCTCAAAAAAGAAGAGCCTTGAGGACTCTGGGCCAGCGTTCCCAGGTGAGTAGGCAGAACCAGATCCCTTTTGGGTTCCCCTTGGCCTTAGACTTGGTGTTTACCTCTACGGATGTTGGTGATCTGACACTAACTAAAAGCGAAACAAAAGAAGTGCCATGGTCAGATCACTTCCTGGTGCAACTGGACTTCTCCGCAACCCTTCCCCTCTGCAGGGAGGTGGGACCGATTTGGATGGTCCTCCCCCACTACTTAATGGATCCAACTGGTTTCCAGAGAGTGGTAGGGGATGTTTTATCCCAAGTTGATGGCCTCTCAGCTGATTCCCTGGTGGCCCGTTGGAATGCGGAGTTAACCAGGGCTATTGACTGTCTGGCTCCGAAGCGCCCTCTCCGATTGCATGGAGCCCGGACAACTCCGTGGTTTTCCCCAGAGCTGAGGGCGATGAAACAATCGTTGAGACGGCTAGAGCGCTGCTGGTGGAAAACTCACTCTGAATCAGACTGGACACGGGCTAGAGCTCAACGTCAAGCCTACCAAGTGGCAATGGCGACGGCGAAGAGGGCCTTCTTCGCCGCCTCCATTGCATCTGCAGAAAACAGCAGCAGGAGACTTTTTCAGGTGGTTCGCAATCTATCGGAACCACCTGCACCACCGGGGCCTGGTAGGGATCCCAAGATCTCCTGCAATGCTTTTGCAAAGTTTTTTGCAGATAAAGTCACTCAGATTCAGAAGGAGGTAGACTCCACCATGGGAGCAGGGCCAGGGCGGGAGAGTGCTAGAGTTCTGCCTAGTCCTGTTACATGGTATCAATTCCAATCTCTTACCTCCGAGGATGTGGACAGGCTGCTTGGACAAGTGAAACCGACCACCTGTCTCCTTGATCCTTGCCCATCCTGGCTGATAAAAGCGAGCCGGGAAGGGCTGGGCGATGGGCTCTGCGGGGTGGTGAATGCTTCTCTCTGTGAGGGAGCCTTCCCAGACCTGCTGAAAGAGGCGGTCATTAAACCGCTTCTTAAAAAAACATCTTCAGACCCAGCCAATTTGGCCAACTATCACCCAGTCTCAAATTTACCATTCTTGGGCAAGGTGATTGAGCGCGTGGTTGCTGAACAACTCCAGGCACGCCTGGAGGATGCGGACCATTTGGATCCCTTCCAATCGGGATTCAGGCGTCACCATGGGACTGATACTGCCTTATAGAATCATAGAATCATAGAGTTGGAAGAGACCACAAGGGCCATCGAGTCCAACCCCCTGCCAAGCAGGAAACACCACCAGAGCACTCCTGACATATGGTTGTCAAGCCTCTGCTTAAAGACCTCCAAAGAAGGAGACTCCACCACACTCCTTGGCAGCAAATTCCACTGTCAAACAGCTCTTACTGTCAGGAAGTTCTTCCTAATGTTTAGGTGGAATCTTCTTTCTTGTAGTTTGGATCCATTGCTCCGTGTCCGCTTCTCTGGAGCAGCAGAAAACAACCTTTCTCCCTCCTCTATGTGACATCCTTTTATATATTTGAACATGGCTATCATATCATCCCTTAACCTCCTCTTCTCCAGGCTAAACATGCCCAGCTCCCTTAGCCGTTCCCCATAAGGCATCGTTTCCAGGCCTTTGACCATTTTGGTTGCCCTCCTCTGGACATGTTCCAGTTTGTCAGTGTCCTTCTTGAACTGTGGTGCCCAGAACTGGACACAGTACTCCAGGTGAGGTCTGACCAGAGCAGAATACAGTGGCACTATTACTTCCCTTGATCTAGATGCTATACTCCTATTGATGCAGCCCAGAATTGCATTGGCTTTTTAGCTGCCGCATCACACTGTTGGCTCATGTCAAGTTTGTGGTCAACCAAGACACCTAGATCCTTTTCACATGTACTGCTCTCAAGCCAGGTGTCCCCATCTTGTATTTGTGCCTCTCATTTTTTTGCCCAAGTGCAATACTTTACATTTCTCCCTGTTAAAATTCATCTTGTTTGTTTTGGCCCAGTTCTCTAATCTGTCAAGGTCGTTTTGAAGTGTGATCCTGTCCTCTGGGGTGTTAGCCACCCCTCCCAATTTGGTGTTGTCAGGGGTTCAGGGAGAGATGCACAGGGTAGGCAGGAGATGGAGAGCGAAGGGGATGAATCCCAAGCCAGCGAGGAAGAGGATGACAATGACTCAAGAGATTCCATGAGTCTTTCCAGCGAATCAGAGGATTCCCAGAAGGGGGGGCCGGTGGTCAAGGCCAGGGGAGCCCCAGGGGGGACGTGTCAGGAGCAGGGGGCCAGCGGAGGATCCCAAAGTGGCAGCTGGGCGTCAGGACCAGCCTCCCCACCAGAGTGCAGCGAAGGGGGTGGAGTTTCCAGTGTGTCAGGGGAAGCAGCTCCGGCAGCAGAGAAGGGAGGGAGGTCAGAGCAAGCCGCCCTCCCGGAAGGGGAGGGAGCAGTGAAGGGAGTAGTGTAACTGTCTAAAGTAATGTTTGTGGTGTTGGGCGCGCGCCAAGTTCAAATGTAGAGGCGCGCGGAAGTACAGGGAGCCCGGAGGAGGGGCCAGGTCCCAAAGCCCGCAGGAGGGGGGAAGAGCAGTCTGATTCCGCGTCAGAGGAATCCAGGAGGGGCGAAACCCAGCGGGCAGAAGGACCCTGCGGAAAAGGAAAGAGAGAAAGAGGTGGAGCAGCGCAAGCCTCTTAAATTGGTGCAGGGGAGGGACGGATTCAGAGGGGACTTCAGCGGTCTAAGCGTAGCAGACGTAGGGCTGCGCGCCTAGGATGTCAAGCAAACAATGAACTGCAATAAACACTTTTGTATATAAGAAGACATAGGCGTTGGTCTTTTGTGAGCTGAGACTTGAGGCAGCCCTGACAGGTGTCATTTGCAAATTTGATCAGGATGCCCTTGAGTCCGTCATCCAAGTCGTTGATAAAGATGTTGAATAAGATCGGGCCCAAGACAGAACCCTGTGGCACCCCACTAGTCACTCTTCTCCAGGATGAAGAGGAACCATTGATGAGCACCCTTTGGGTTCGGTCAGTCAGCCAGTTACAAATCCACTGAGTGGTAGCATAGTCAAGACCGCATTTTACCAGCTTCTTTACAAGAATATCATGAGGCACCTTGTCAAATGCCTTGCTGAAATCAAGGTAGGCTACATCCACTGCGTTCCCTTCATCTACCAGGCTTGTAATTCTGTCAAAAACGAGATCAGGTTAGTCTGACATGACTTATTTTTCAGAAATCCATGCTGACTATTGGTGATCACAGCATTCCTTTCTAGGTGCTCACAGACTGTTTGCTTAATGATCTGCTCCAGAATCTTCCCTGGTATTGATGTCAGACTGACTGGGCGGTAATTATTTGGGTCCTCTCTTTTCCCCTTTTTGAAAATAGGGACAACATTTGCCCTCCTCCAGTCTGCCGGGACTTCGCTTGTTCTCCAGGAATTCTCAAAGATGACTGCCAGTGGTTCTGAGATCACATCTGCCAGTTCTTTTAATACTCTTGGATGCAGTTCATCTGGCCCTGGAGACTTGAATACATCTAAACTAGCCAAGTATTCTTGTACTATCTCCTTAGTTATTCTGGGCTGTGTTTCCTCTGCTGAATCATTTGCTCCAAATTCTTCAGGTCGGGCATTGTTTTCTTTATCGGAGAAGACTGAGGCAAAGAAGGCATTGAGGAGTTCAGCCCTTTCTGTGTCCCCTGTTTGCATTTCACCATCTTCTCCTCTGAGTGACCCCACTGTTTCTTTGTTCTTCCTTTTGCTACGAACATACCCATAAAAGCCTTTTTGTTGCTTTTAACCTCTCTAGCAAGCCTGAGTTCATTCTGTGCTTTAGCTTTTCTGACTTTGTGTCTACACGTGCTGGCTATTTGTTTGAATTCCTCTTTGGTGGTTTCCCCCCTTTTCCATTTTTTGTACACATCCTTTTTTAATCTTAACTCAGTTAAAAGTTCTTTAGATAGCCACCCTGGCTTCTTTAGGCACCTTCCAACCCTCCTCTTAGGTCTGGTCGGGGTTCTTCCATGAGCTGTCCGCTCCAAGGTCGCCTGCACATTACCTGATGACTGACTTTGCTGCTCGTCTTCATATACCTGATCGACTGTAATGAGGGAGAGATCCTCAAATGGAGTCTGCTCTTCGTCTTCCATGCTAGGGGAGAGGACCTCAAAGCGATTGTGTATTTCTAAATACGCTGGTTGGTCGCGCTGGTTGATGATCTCCGGTGAGCTAGGGACAAAGGTGAGAGCTGTTTCCTAGTTCTGCTGGATCTCTCAGCGGCCTTTGACAGCATCGACCATAACATCCTTCTGGACCGTCTAGAGGGGCTGGGAGCTGGGGGCACTGTTATACGGTGGTTCCGCTCCTTTCTCCTGGGCTGTGCCCAGAAAGTGGTGTTGGGGAATGAGTGTTCAGACCCCTGGTCTCTCACTTGTGGGGTGCCTCAGGGTTCCGTCCTCTCCCCCATGCTTTTTAATATCTATATGAAGCCGCTGGGAGAGATCATCAGGGGGTTTGGGCTGGGTGTTCATCAGTATGCAGATGACACCCAGCTCTACCTCTCCTTTAAATCAGAACCAGTGAAGGCGGTGAAGGCCCTGTGTGAGTGCCTGGAGGCGGTTGGAGGATGGATGGTGGCTAACAGATTGAGGTTGAATCCTGACAAGACTGAAGTCCTGTTTTTGGGGGACAGGGGGCGGGTGGATGTAGGGGATTCCCTGGTCCTGAATGGGGTAACTGTGCCCCTGAAGGACCAGGTGCACAGCCTGGGAGTCACTTTGGACTCACAGCTGTCCATGGAGGCGCAGGTTAATTCTGTATCCAGGGCAGCTGTCTACCAACTCCACCTGGTACGCAGGCTGAGACCCTACCTGCCTGGGAACTGTCTCACTAGAGTGGTGCATGCTCTAGTTATCTCCTGCTTGGACTACTGCAACGCACTCTACGTGGGGCTACGTTTGACGGTGACCCAGAAACTGCAATTAATCCAGAATGCGGCAGCTAGACTGGTGACTGGGAGCGGCTGCCTGGACCACATAACACTGGTTCTGAGAGATCTGCATTGGCTCCCAGTACGTTTCTGGGCACAATTCAAAGTGTTAAAGCCCTAAACGGCCTCGGTCCAGTATACCTGAAGGAGCCTCTCCACCCCCATCGTTCAGCCTGGACACTGAGATCCAGCGCCTAGGGCCTTCTGGTGGTTCCCTCATTGTGAGAAGTAAGGTTACAGGGAACCAGACAGAGGGCCTTCTCGGCAGTGGCGCCCACCCTGTGGAATACCCTCCCTTCAGATGTGAAGGAAATAAGTAGCTACCCTATCTTTAAAAGACATCTGAAGGCAGCCCTGTTTAGGGAAGTTTTTAACATTTAACGCTGTATTGTTTTTAATACTTGATTGGGAGCCGCCCAGAGTGGCTGGGGAAACTCAGCCAGATGGGCGGGGTATAAATAATAAATTATTATTATTATGATACAAGGCCGGGGTCTCTCTTGGTTTCCTTGATGTCTGGGTGCAAATCCCCCTCCTTGTTAAGAGGCGTGTAACATGGAGCAGGGACTTCCGGGTGGCTGTTCTGCATTGCTGGGGGTTGGACTAGGTGACCCCGCAGGTCCCTTCAGACGCTACAGTTCTATGATCCCTGTTCAGATATGGCATGCACCCGCTCATTGCAACAGGCGAGAAGCCCCCTGAGAAAGAACTTGCCGTCTTTTCTCGTGTATAAGACGAGGTTTTTTACCCCCCAAATCAAGTGTCAAATTGGGGCTCCTCTTCTACAGGGGGAGTGCTGAGGGGGGACGGGTGCTTGGTTGTAGCCGCCAGGAAGAGATTTCCAGCCATGATTTCTTTGCTGTGGAAAGGGCTGTTGTCGACTGGCAGACGATAGGTGACTTGGTGGTTGATGCGTGCAATTGTGCAATTTGATTAATGGCTCCCTCCCCCCAAATGAAGCTCAACCACTCTGGGCAACCCCTCCCCAAAAAAGCTTAACAAGTCTTGGCAATCTGCCCCCATTTTCTAAATTTTGAGTGCCCAAAAATAGGGGGCGTCTTATACATGGGGGCGTGTTATACAGGGAAAAATACGGTACCTTTCCCTCTCATCCACCTCATTTACTCACCTCTCTCTCTCTCTCTCTCTCTCTCTCTCTCTCTCTCTGAAGAACTCTCTGATGAAAACTTCGAGTACTTGTGGATGGGTAAGAAAATGCTGGGAGGAAGAACCATCAGAGAAGCCTTGGAGATGATGGATGAAAGGGAGATTTTGGACACCATCCTCCAACACCTCCAGCCAGCTCCCCAGGTGTGTGTGATGCAGGGTGGATTTGATTGAAATCAAATCAATTTAAAACATATTTTTACATTCTTGCTTGTATAATCTTAATATTTACAACCAGATGAAGGTTTCATTTTGGGAATAATAAATTTCCAGAGTAGTTTTTACTACTGATTTGGTTATACTGTTAGGAATGCATAGACAGATAATTATGAAATTATTGTGGGGTATAATAAGTTAACTGTGTACAGACGCTTCAGGTTACATACACTTCAGGTTACAGACTCCGCTAACCCAGAAATAGTACCTCGGGTTAAGAACTTCCATCGGCTCAGGGGCGAGAGGGGAAAAGCCGGGTGGGTTACAGAGAGCCCCCAAAGATCATGGGAAGCAGCACTTCCTCAGCGGAGGAAGGGGAGGAGATGCAGGGGTCGGAGGAGGCAAGGCGGTGCCAGGACACCTTGCCTGAGCAAAGCGGGGAGGAGGGGGGTCCCCCATTACCCAAGCCTTCCTTGCGCAGTAGGCTTCCACGCAGAGAGGGGAGGCGCAGACTGGGCGCCAAGAAATTACTCTGCTGGGGAAGGTTGAAGGGCCGCCCACTCTCAGATTCTGCCCGTGAATGAGCAAGACACGGAATAGAGGCCCTCTGCATTCTAAAAGTTTTGATCACTAAGAAGAAAGCTGGAAAACAGACTCTTGAGCCATATTGCCTGATTGCTCTCAAGCAACCAACCGATACCTCTAACAGTGGTGCTTCAGGTTAAGAACAGTTTCAGGTTAAGAACAGACCTCCGGAACGAATTAAGTTCTTAACCTGAGGTACCATTGTATATTTGGACAACTTTTCTGCTGTACCTTATTGGAAGGAGAAAAATAATCATTTCCTTAAAAAGAATTTAAACAATTTATTTAATTAAAACAATAACATTATAGCTTATATATCCATGTTTCTTAACTGATGTAGTTAAACATTTTTTAAAAAAAAAATTCATAGACTGAATTTTAGCATATATGAAAAACTTAAAATAAATCCTTACTTCCCAGTGAATAGCCTTTGGACTATAATGCAACTTAAATAGAAAAATATATTCCGAAAGATTTTTCCTCCAAAAGCATTTTATTTTAGAAATCCAATTTAATTTTTTAAAAAAATGTGATTTAAATCAAAGAAATCTATTAAAAATAATAATGGGTCATTGATTTTTATCCACCCTGGTCTGATGTTGCGCAGCGTGAACCAGGATTCCCCAACCTGGTGCCCTCTAAATGTTCTGGACCATATGCTGCCTGGGGCTGGTGGGAGCATGAAGAAGGGTTCAAGTTGAGGGGAACTGCCATGAACTATCACAGGCAAAGGCAAACTCGGCCCTCCAGCTGTTTGGGGACTACAGCTCCCATCATCCCTAGCTAACAGGACCAGCGAGTCAGGGGTGATGGGCATTGGAGTCCCCAAACAGCTGGAGGGCCGTGTTTGCCTAGGCCTGAACTATTGGGAGCTCAGCTTGGAGGAAGGCCCTATTTGCACATGCAAGAGACGACTTTCCCCTGGTGAGAAGGAGTGGTGACCGCCAGTCTGGGGGGGCTTGAAAAGAGGACCAGGCAAACTTGGGGAAGCAGAGAAGGCAATCAGTGCAGGATCTGTAGACCGGAAGAAGAACCAATCCATGAACTTGATTTGGTGGGGTGACTTGGACCCCAGGAAATGTTGCATGTTTTTTTCTTTAACTTTTGCAACTGATCGTTCCCGATATCTGGGAACGTTTCAGAACCCGATATTGTGCAGTAAAAGTTTTTGTGACTGTATTGTGCCAAATGTGGCCAATATTTCCTCTTCGCTCTCAAGAGCAGTTAATTTGCCAGGCCTGGGCATTTGGCAGAGCAGGCAAGCAAATACTTTATGCAACAGAAAATTTAATAAATAATCATACTGGGAGTGGTATTGTCTGTTTGTTATTATGGTATGTATTTTTGAGTCTTTATATTGTAAACCGCCCTGTGATCTTCGGATGAAGGGCAGTACCGAAATTTAATAAATAATAGTAATAGCCACAATGCCTAGATTCTGTTTGTTCAGGGCAGGAAACAAAGTGCTTTAAATGAATGGTGTGTCTCCCAGTCCAGAGGATTTATTGAATCTTCTTTGGAGTGTTACTTTAAAAAAGAAGAAGAATTGATTGCAATAGATTTTACTCCAAATGATTTTTGCAAGAAGTCTATTTCTAGGCATGTGGGGTTTTTTTTAGAGAAGACAAGTGGCAGATAGATGGCAACTGTTCTCTAGACAAGAAACATGACACTTTTCTTCATTTTATTCCCAGCAGAAGACATCCAAGCCTGAACACAACAAGGTAAGTCCTTGTCGTGAATTCCTCGCGGCGCTTTTAGCAGAATGCTCAGAGTCCCAGGTTCTTTAGTGCAGTATTTATTATTGTGAGCTCAATATATATACAAATATCTACAGAAGCAGTTCATCTAATCAGACAGAGTACCTGCACCTTGAGGCAAAAGAAGACTCCACACTCATCTACACCACTCCACCACTATTGGACAGGCTTCCCTTTTAAACCAGTGACAGCCAATCACATTACTGCTGCGTCATTCTGACCCAGCACTTCCACAGAGAGTATTGGATCTGTAGCCTTATTGGAGTTCACTGATTGGGTCTGCGTTGCTCCGGGACAGGAGGAAGGAAGCCAAATGACACCGAGGTTGATTCAAAGAAGAAAGAGTTTATTCTGCTCTCCGGATAGCAGAAGGTACTTGCGTGATCAAGTCCACAGCAAGTCCAAAGAAATGACAAGTTTCATGCAGTATATATATATCCTCCAGGCACTCTCTCCATCCTTCCAACCACATCAGCCTATGTACGCAGGTTGACATCACGTATGTTCTTGCTCTGGTATTCTTAACCATAAAAGGGTGTTCCTTCCTGTACTTCTGACCATAAAAGGATCTTCCTCTTCCTACTTTTATCTGGGAGGAATAGGTCATAATCTCCGGGAACATGCTCTGGTGCTGTTCCCAGATTGGGTCTGTGCGTCTTTTGTGGTCAGCACATAAGATAAGGCACACACGCATCATCCCTGCTCTACTGGAACTTGGCAAGGTCACTCATTGCCGCCACAGTCTGATAAGGGAGAGAGCTTCGAGCACAGCTGGGTTTTTGTTTATACATTGACTCAGAGCTCAAGTTAATGGATTTTAGCTAAGGAAAAATAGGGAATTTGGTGCAGTTTTCAAACTGCCTTCACAGTCAGTTTTGGGTTTGGGAAACCCATTCCTTTACATCAGCCTGTTGCAAACTGAAGCCTGCAGACTTACTTGCACAGCATCCTGCAAATCCCAACACTCCTCCTTAAGTCAAAGGCTTGAGACCTAATAATTCTCTTAAGTCTTGAAATTTAGGACCATCCAAGCATTTTGTATACAAATCCGCCACATTACATTTTGTGTTACAGTGCTGTACCTTTAACACATTTCTTTCCAAAGCATTTTTCACATTTCCGTATCTTATAGCAATATGTTTACTCTTGCTCTTAACGTTCTGTTGGTTAGCAAGCTGTTGTGCAGTCATGTTGTCACTTAGCACAGTGATTGGCATTTCAGAAGGTATTCCAAGCTCTTTTGTTAGGCAAGCAAACCACTCTATTTGTGACACACATTCACTTATGGCTGAGTACTCTGCTTCACAAGTACTTGTGGCAACAAATGTTTGTTTCTGGGATTTCCACTAAACCAGGGCATTTCCAATATATATGGCATAGCCAGTGGTAGACTTTCCATTTTCTCTGTCCCCCCAGCTGGCATCAGCGTATGCATACACTTGCTGATCATATCCTGTATCCAGCACCAGTTTGTAATCTTTTGTGCCTTTCAGATACCTTAGGATTCTTTTAAGTGCTACCCAATCTCTCTGAGCCAGGTCTGCACTTCTTTGGCTTAACATGTGCACTGCCAATGTTATGTCGGGTCTTGTCCAACAACTTAAATATAACAGAGAACCTAACAGAGAATGAAATGCTGTTGCATTCTCACATTTTTGCCCTTCTGGTTCATTTTTGTACTGGGTAGTTATGGGAGTGTCAACCTCACTTGCCCTCTCCATTCCATATGTCTTCAGTAACTTTTCGATTTTTTCCTTCTGACTCAGAGAGTAGACGCCCTCTTCATTTCTCCGAACCTCTACTCCTAAGTAATTCTGAATCTCTCCCAAATACTTCACTTTGTATTTGTTACCTAGGCTGTTTATAAACCAAGACACTTGCTTTTGTGCAGTTGTTATTAGACAGATATCATCAACATACAAAAGTAAATAACAAACGCTTCCTTGCACCATTGCTGAATATAAACAGGAATCAGCCAGGCTTTGTTTGAATCCCATCTTTTTCAAAGTTGTGTCTATGCATTCATGCCATAGACGTGCACTTTGGTGTAAACCATATAGTGCCCTTTGCAGCTTTAACACCATGCTGTCTTTTTCCAGCTCATAACCTGGTATTTGCTGTAAATACACCTCGGCGTCCATAGGAGCATTTAGATATGCTGAGGCAACATCAAAATGATTAACTTTTAACCCCCTCAGACTTGCCATTGCTAAAACTGATTTTACTGTTTCAGCCTTTGCTCTTGGGGCAAACACTTCATCATAATATATCATTTTCCTTTGTGTAAAGCCCTTTGCAACCAGCCTGGCTTTCCTCTGACAACTACCATCAGCCAGCTTTTTCACTTTAAAAACCCACTTACAGCTTATGGGCATTTTACCTTCAGGCAATTCTGTAGGTGTCAGCATCACCCTTCAGCCAGTGTCACTAACTGGATTCATCCACTTCAGCCCCAAATGGGCTAGGCGAGCTGGGTAGCACTTCCAGAGACCACCTTCTGCACAGGAACAGGTCAAAGTGCTGTGGACTCACAGCTTAGAGTTGTGAGCATCAGATTCACTTCCACAAGAAGACAGTCGTTGCACAGCAGAGTATAGCAGAGTACAGCAGCGCATAAACGACTCAGAGAGAAGCTCTGTAGAATATCTTCTTTATTCTATCTACAACTATAATACACAACTATATACAGAGCTAAATGAGGTCTAAATGAAAATGAATGCTGAACTGCACTGAGTGTCTGCAGCTGCTCTTAGCAGCAACCTTATCTATACACACGATCTCTCTCTAACACTCAGTCTCTCTCTCCGACACTTTGATGTGAGGCTGGAGCGGAATAAGTAGAGAGCAAAAACCGCCCCCTCCTCTCTGGAGAATCAGCAGAGAACATCAGCAGATTCTTGGATATGGGAGGGGTGAAATCTCCTCAGTAGGTACAAACACATTGTTATTTAGCAGAGAGTTATACTCTGCCTGCATTGCCTTTAACCACACCTCTTTCTCTAGAGTAGGTAACTCTTGCAGTTCTTCAAAGTTTGCTGGCTCAGTTACACAAACCTGGTTTATGGTGGCTGGGAACCCATAACGGGCTGGAGGTTGGCCTTTATTACTTCTTTCAGACCTCCTTGGTTCATTAATCTCACCCCTTGGGCTACCTTCAGGACTGCTTTTGGGGTGGATTGACTCTGGAGATTTATCTCCTCCTGTCCCTGTTGCACTTTCTCCCCCACCCCCCCGCTCCATGCTAGCAGCTGGAGAAAAATGCTCAGTCTTTACCTCCTCCCTTTCAATTTCTCTGGGAGAGCTGCCAATTCTTAGCTTTCTTTCAACGGCCTTATCAGTTACGCTTGGCAGTAAAACTTTTTCTGGCAGCAGGTTAGCATGTATCTTGGGCCAATTTCTTTGCTCATTAAAGCTGGCTGACCGACTATAACTCAAAAGATTTTTATCATCTTCAAACCTGTAGGCTTTCGTACTGCTTTCATACCCAAGAAATAGCAACTGCTGTGCCCTTTTCCCACCTTTTCTTCGGTTTTTTTACAGGTATGTCAACCCATGCCTTTGTCCAAAAGATTCTCAAATGTTGCAAACTGGGACTTTTGTTATAGAGAATCTTATAGGGTATGTCATCTAGTACCCTTGACCACAAACAATTTCCAATATAATTCGCTGTCTTAATACTCTCAGCCCAGTACTTAATTGGAAGATTTGCATCTGCTAACAATGCTTTCATTTGTGTCTGCAAGACACCTCCCCTACGCTCTGCTACTCCATTCTCCCGAGGAGTCGCCACATTGGTAAGCCTATGTTTAATCCTTGGGATCGCAACCAGTTTCTTAGGGAGGTTGCCATAAATTCTCCTCCCCTGTCTGTCTGAATAGAGCACACCTTTTGGCCAAGTTGCCTTTCTATCCTTCTTACCCAGAACTTCAAAGTTTGGGCAACATCAGATTTTTGCTTTAATGGATAGACCCAGCCAAATCTAGAATAGTCATCCACTAGGATCAAACAATACTTGTTATGGGAGACACTTGGTGGAAAAGGACCAGTTACATCAGCATGAACCAACTCCAGTGGTTTTTTTGTTTCTCTCTGGCTTGCTCTTGCTACTGGGCAAGTCCTGCTTTTAACCTCCTTGCAGATATTGCAGTCTAAGTAATTATCACAACTTTTAATGTTTTTCATCGCCCCCCCAACTCCAATGTTTTGTTCAGCACCTTAAAGCTGGCACGAGCCAGACCCCTGTGCAGCAGATGAATACACATACCATGGGTCGGGACATTTTGCACATTCACAACCTTAGACTCACACTGCAGTACATACATATTAATTCTAAGGTTAGCATTTGCCAATACTGCCCCATTTTGCTTTATCTGGCACTGATCTCCTACAAAGTTTACTTCAAAGCCTGCTTTTGCCAAGTCAGGAATACTCAGGAGATTGTTTTGCAAACTAGGCACACACAACATATTCCTGAATGTGTGTCCCAGCTGTGGGAACACAATCTCCCCCTCACAGACTACATTAGCTTTCTGGCCTGTAGCAAGACTTACATGGTTTTGTTTGAAGCCCTAGCATCAGTTAGCAATGCTTTTCTTTTACAAAAAGTTTGAGAATTTCTGCTGTCCAGAACCCACAGCTCTTCATTTTCTTGGCCATCTGCAGACACCCAAGCGGTAGACTCTCTCTGCTGCCTCCTGTGCATCTGCTGTTTTTGTTGTTTCCTCGGGCAGTCCCGAAGCAGATGTTCACTGGACTTGCAGCAAAAACACCTTTTTACCTTGTTGACCACCGGCTGGTCTGCAGCAGCTCCTCCTGGCTGTTTCTCCGGCTCCCGACACCTCTGCTCTTCCCGGCTGTTGTTCCCTCTGGGATGCTCCAACAGCTGGGCTGAGGTCATCTTTCGCTCTGAACGCCTGTCCTCCTCTGCATACAACCGTCTGGTAATGTATTCCAGAGTCAGCTTATCAGTCTCTACCGACTCAAGGGAATTGACCAGCATATCATAGCTGTCATCAAGGGAACTCAGGACTATAAAGACTTTGTCCTCTTCCCCCACAGGCCTCCCTCTTAAGACTAGCTCCTGGAAACAGCCTGTTAGGAATTTTAGGTGGTTCACCAGGGAGTCCCCCAGTGTCTTCCGACACCAGTATGTTCTCCTGGTCAGTGTTCATAGAATCATAGAGTTGGAAGAGACCACAAGGGCCATCGAGTCCAACCCCCTGCCAAGCAGGAAACACCATCAGAGCACTCCTGACATATGGTTGTCAAGCCTCTGCTTAAAGACCTCCAAAGAAGGAGACTCCACCACACTCCTTGGCAGCAAATTCCACTGTCGAACAGCTCTTACTGTCAGGAAGTTCTTCCTAATGTTTAGGTGGAATCTTCTTTCTTGTAGTTTGGATCCATTGCTCCGTGTCCGCTTCTCTGGAGCAGCAGAAAACAACCTTTCTCCCTCCTCTATGTGACATCCTTTTATATATTTGAACATGGCTATCATATCACCCCTTAACCTCCTCTTCTCCAGGCTAAACATGCCCAGCTCCCTTAGCCGTTCCTCATAAGGCATCGTTTCCAGGCCTTTGACCATTTTGGTTGCCCTCCTCTGGACACGTTCCAGTTTGTCAGTGTCCTTCCTGAACTGTGGTGCCCAGAACTGGACACAGTACTCCAGGTGAGGTCTGACCAGAGCAGAATACAGTGGCACTATTACTTCCCTTGATCTAGATGCTATACTCCTATTGATGCAGCCCAGTCACACTGTTGCCTCATGTCAAGTTTGTGGTCAACCAAGACTCCTAGATCCTTTTCACATGTACTGCTCTCATTTTTTTAAAAAAATAATATTTATTAAAGTTTCAAAGGGGGAAAAATCACATTAATAAAAAAAATTAACAATAAAAAGGAAAAATACAAAGTAGAAAAAAAAAACCAGTTAAAAACAATTCCATCTTTTCCTCACTTCTTTTACGTTTACTTGTTTCCCGGACCTCCTCATACATCCCTCTTTGGTATTCCAATTCAATTTGTTAATCCAACAATTCCTTTCCCTCCTAATCCTAATCCTTAGTCTTGATATATTGTAACGTTAGATTTTTACATATTAAAAACCAATTTTTCCATATTCTTTTGTACCTATACAGCTAGAAACCACTTAACTTCAATCCAACATCATTCTAACATTCATTAATTTTACAATATTTCTGTAAATAGTCTTTAAATTTCTTCCAATCTTCTTCCACCGACTCTTCTCCCTGGTCACGGATTCTGCCAGTCATTTCTGCCAATTCCATATAGTCCATTAATTTCATCTGCCATTCCTCCAGTGTGGGTAAATCTTGTGTCTTCCAATGCTTTGCAATGAGTATTCTTGCTGCTGTTGTAGCATACATAAAGAAAGTTCTGTCCTTTTTAACACCGATTGGCCGACTATGCCCAGGAGAAAGGCCTCTGGTTTCTTCAAGAAGGTATATTTAAATACCCTTTTTTGTTCATTATATATCATCTCCCAGAAAGCCTTAATCTTTGGGCACGTCCACCAAAGGTGAAAAAATGTACCTTCAGTTTCTTTACATTTCCAACATTTATTATCAGGCACATGATAGATTTTTGCAAGCTTGACTGGGGTTATGTACCACCTGTATATCATTTTCATAATATTTTCTCTTAAGGCATTACATGCCGTAAATTTCATACCTGTGGTCCACAACTGTTCCCAGTCAGCAAATTCATCTTGTTTGTTTTGGCCCAGCTCTCTAATCTGTCAAGGTCGTTTTGAAGTGTGATCCTGTCCTCTGGGGTGTTAGCCACCCCTCCAGTTTGGTGTCATCTGCAAATTTGATCAGGATGCCCTTGAGTCCATCATCCAAGTCGTTGATAAAGATGTTGAATAAGACCGGGCCCAAGACAGAACCCTGTGGCACCCCACTAGTCACTCTTCTCCAGGATGAAGAGGAACCATTGATGAGCACCCTTTGGGTTCGGTCAGTCAGCCAGTTACAAATCCACTGAGTGGTAGCATAGTCAAGACCGCATTTTACCAGCTTCTTTACAAGAATATCATGGGGCACCTTGTCAAATGCCTTGCTGAAATCAAGGTAGGCTACATCCACTGTGTTCCCTTCATCTACCAGGCTTGTAATTCTGTCAAAAACGAGATCAGGTTAGTCTGACATGACTTATTTTTCAGAAATCCATGCTGACTATTGGTGATCACAGCATTCCTTTCTAGGTGCTCACAGACTGTTTGCTTAATGATCTGCTCCAGAATCTTCCCTGGTATTGATGTCAGACTGACTGGGCAGTAATTATTTGGGTCCACTCTTTCCCCCTTTTGGAAAATAGGGACAACATTTGCCCTCCTCCAGTCTGCCGGGACTTCGCCTGTTCTCCAGGAATTCTCAAAGATGACTGCCAGTGGTTCTGAGATCACATCTGCCAGTTCTTTTAATACTCTTGGATGCCGTTCGTCTGGCCCTGGAGACTTGAATACATCTAAACTAGCCAAGTATTCTTGTACTATCTCCTTAGTTATTCTGGGCTGTGTTTCCTCTACTGAATCATTTGCTCCAAATTCTTCAGGTCGGGCATTGTTTTCTTTATCAGAGAAGACTGAGGCAAAGAAGGCATTGAGGAGTTCAGCCCTTTCTGTGTCCCCAAGAGCGGTAGTCTCGTAATCTGGGGAACTGGGTTCGCGTCTCCGCTCCTCCACCTGCAGCTGCTGGGTGACCTTGGGCTAGTCACACTTCTTTGAAGTCTCTCAGCCCCACTCACCTCACAGAGTGTTTGTTGTGGGGGAGGAAGGGAAAGGAGATTGTGAGCCGCTTTGAGACTCCTTAGGGGAGTGATAAAGGGGGATATCAAATCCAAACTCTTCTTCTTCTTCTGAGTGACCCCACTGTTTCTTTGTTCTTCCTTTTGCTACGGACATACCCATAAAAGCCTTTTTTGTTGCTTTTAACCTCTCTAGCAAGCCTGAGTTCATTCTGTGCTTTAGCTTTTCTGACTTTGTGTCTACATGTGCTGGCTATTTGTTTGAATTCCTCTTTGGTGGTTTCCCCTTTTCCATTTTTGTACACATCCTTTTTAATCTTAACTCAGTTAAAAGTTCTTTAGATAGCCACCCTGGCTTCTTTAGGCACCTTCCATGTTTCCGTCTCATTGGTATTGCCTGAAGTTGTGCTTTTACTATCTCCCTCTTAACAAACTCCCAGCCATCATGAACTCCCTTTCCTTTTAGTATTACTGTCCATGGGATCTCACCCAGCACTTCCCTAAGTTTTATGAAGTCGGCTTTCTTAAAGTCAAGAAATTGAGTCCTAGTATGCTTGGCTGCTCCTTTCCGCTGTATAGTAAACTTCAGAAGAGCATGATCACTCGCGCCTAATGATCCTTCCACTTCTACCCCACTAACCAGGTCATCAACATTGGTTAGGACCAGATCTAAAATGGCTGTTCCTCTTGTTGCTTCTCCCACTTTCTGGACAATGAAGTTGTCTGCAAGGCCAGTGAGGAATCTGTTTGACCTTATGCTCTTGGCTGAGTTTGACATCCAACAAATATCCGGGTAATTGATTTCCCCACTTACTACTATCTCCCTTCCTTTTGCATGCTTGGCCATCTGTTCCAGGAAGGCATCATCTATGTCCTCCGTTTGGCTTGGGGATCTATAGTAAACTCCCACAATGAGGTCTCTGTTATTCTTCTCTCCCTTAATTTTGACCCAAATGCTCTCACTTTGGCTTTGAGGTTCTAAATCTTGGATCTCTTCACAGGTATTATCAGCGAGCCAGCTGTCTCTCGCACATGGACAGCCTTGAGCGCATTCCACGCCTCACTTGCCGTCACCTTATCAGCTACGTAGACTAGCTGGCTGTCGTCCACTCCAAGGATGATCGTAGCCAAGGCTTTCTCATCCTTTTCATCCTCCTCAGGGGGCTGTGGTGGATCTTCCACCACTTTCCACAGGCCCTCACGCTTGAGGAAGTGTTGCATGCGGACTGACCAGATCCTGTAGTTTGTGGCCATCAGCTTCTCCAGCAACACGCCAGCTCTGGACTGCTCCATCCCTGCAGCTCCCCTCCAGCACCCACGGCTAGATAACTGCCACCTGTACTCATGCGCAGCGGAAGTGTGCTGGGCCCATAACCCTGTCACGAATTCCTCGCGGCGCTTTTAGCAGAAAGCTCAGAGTCCTAGGTTCTTTAGTGCAGTATTTATTATTGTGAGCTAAATATATATACAAATATCTACAGAAGCAGTTCATATAATCAGACAGAGTACCTGCGCCTTGAGGCAAAAGAAGACTCCACACTCATCTACACCACTCCACCACTATTGGACAGGCTTCCCTTTTAAACCGGTGACAGCCAATCACATTACTGTGGGGTGCCACAAAAGAGAACACCCTCTCCCAATTTCAGTCATGGGGGGAGGGTGGGGAAACCCGTAAGAGGCTGCGGGTGCAGGTATTAGTTCTCTTAAAAAGCGGGAAGAGCCTAGGGTCAGCGTATCTAGGACAAAAGTGTGTCATGAGAATGAAAGACGAGGCTGCTGGGTTAGACCAGCAGCCTGCACAGTCCAGCATCCTTATCTCACAGTGGCCAACCAGATGCCCATGGGAAACTGGAAAGCAGAATTCGAACACAGAGCCCTCTCCCCTTCCTGTGGTTTCCAGCAACTGGTATTCAGAAGCATTCCTGCCTCCAACAGTGGAGGCAGAGCAATTAGGACATGCTGAACTTGTCAACTTTCAAATTCCCCAAATGAGGAGTACTAAAGAGTTGTAATAGGGACGCGGGTGGCGCTGTGGGTTAAACCACTCCCCCGCTTGGGCTTGCCGATTGGAAGGTCGGCGGTTCGAATCCCTGCGATGGGGTGAGCTCCCGTTGTTCGGTCCCAGCTCCTGCCCACCTAGCAGTTCAAAAGCACATAGTGCAAGTAAATAATAATAATAATAATAATAATAATAATAATAATTCATATCCAATCCCTCCCCAGCCGAAGCCAGTACTGCTCCGGCTGGAAGGCAAACGGCATTTCCGTGTGCTGCTCTGGTTTCGCCAGAAGCGGCTTAGTCATGCTGGCCACATGACCTGGAAAAACTGTCTGCAGAAGCGGACAAATGCCGGCTCCCTCGGCCTTAAAGCGAGATGAGCACCGCAACCCCAGAGTCGTTTGCGACTGGACTTAATTGTCAGGGGTCCTTTTACCTTTACCTTTAAAGAGTTGTAACATGACTTGGGAATTCAGAAGATGTGTAAAATTGCATACAAATCATTAAAACAATTGCCTAGTACTTGCAATCTATTATTATTATTTAGTATTACCCGACATTTTCAGACGGTAAAATTGAAATTCTTTGGTTTTCCAAAAGCAGTTGATGTAGCTGGTGGGGTCTCCTCCCTGTGACTCACCCAAACCTTCCCCAACCCTTAGAATGCCCTCTATAGATATTATGGACTCAAGCTGCGGGATTCCAGGAGCGCAGAGACAGTCCACCTGTACCTGCACTTACTCCTGAGGTTGCCTCTCGAAGAGGAAGCAGACAGAGAGGTGAGTGAATGTGTGGGATGTCAGGGGGGGAGGAGAGCCAGTGGGACTGGGACTGTGCTCACACGGAGACTCTCCACCTCCAGCCGTGTCCTGGAAGAGCCTCCTCCTTCTGAACCCTCCTGCTTCAAGCACCTCCCCAGGCTGCTCCCCAGTGTCCCACCACCACAATCCAGGGTCCCCCACTCTTACTCATCCAGCCAGTCCCTGACATTACCCCACAGACCCCACCAGCCCTCTGTCCTGATTTCCGGATTGGTCTCTGCTCGTGCCCACCCGGTCACCCCCTCAAAGCCTCTTACAGGAGGAACTGCTTTTCAGCATTCAACATATCTGGGGCAGATTAGTTTTGGGTTCGATCAGAGCAGCCAACAAGTGGCCCTCAATGCCTTTCTTGGCAGCCCTCAGCAACCTTGGAGGCACCCCTACACACCTGTAGGCCTTGCACCGCCTTCCCAAAGCTGGGTAAGGAGGTGCTGGGCTTGGGGAAGGAGGCAGGTGTGATCTGTCAGGGTCCTAGAGTCCTCAGTTAGCTCTTTCCCACCTTTGGCAAGAAGGTGGGAAGGCGCTAGGTCCCACCAGAGCCTCGTGCCTCCTTCCCAAAAGCCAGCGCCTCACCTGCCTACCTTTGGGAAGGCAGCATGCAGGCTGGGGCGTGTGTGTCAAATGTTGGCCTTGCTCTCCTCTCCCACATGACAAGTCAGTGTGCGGCCCACAGGTTCTGTGCTGAACTACTCTTGTGGCCCACTTGGTATGAGAAATTGGAGCACCCTGTTTTAGATGGTGCATATTCCTGCTCTGGCGCCTTTGGGTGAGGGGTGGATTACAAATACTTCCAGTGTATAAATGAAGCATTTTAATGTAGTTGGGTGTTTAATGAAGCCAAGAACTGTATCACAAGATTCGAAAATGTCAGAATGCAAGGCATCCTTGCATTGCAAGCTGCACATGAGTCTGGGAGGTGTGGTCTGGTCAGTTCACATCAGAATCCACAGAAATATCGTTCTTCAAACCACCCCTATTATTATCTGGGATGAAAGGATCTGTTCAAATTGGTTCTCTAAGTGTCTCATTTCCCCACTCTTAAATTTGGTTCCCCACATTTTGCAGCAATCTGCTTACAGAATCACATTTATCCTCCATAGCTTAATGGTTGCCATCAATTTCATTTTAATTGATTTTAATTAATTTTTATAATGAAATGTTTTTAGAATGTTGTACTATTTTATTGTTGTTAGCCGCCCTGAGCCCGGCTTTGGCTGGGGAGGGCGGGATATAAATAAAATTTATTATTATTATTATCACTAATTGCAATCAAGAAAACGACATGTTTGACGTGCCTCATTCTCCCTAGGGAATTTCTGAGGCTATCGGTGTGGCTTCAAGCACCCATATTTCCCAGGTGCTGATGGCAGTGCGGGATTTTGGCCGCGCAGCCATTGCAAGGAAGACTGAGACGTCTGAGGTAAGGGTGTGAAGTGAGGAAGGAGCATAGCAAGAGTGTAGGTCAGCCACCCCCAGCCTGGTGCCCCTTCCCCATCCGTGTGTTTTGAATTGGAACTCCCATCAGCCCCTGACAGCATGGCCAATGGTTAGACAAAGATCCTGGCAAACTGGATCCTTAGCAGCTATTTACACCCACACCAAAGCATGTGAAGCAGCCTCTGGGTTCCTCTGATCTAGGAAAACAGAGCTGTGTTGGAAAAGAACAAATCCTGCCCCATTTCCAAATATGCTCTTTTTCAAGGGATGGGATCCTTACCATTCCAAAAAGGCAATTAGATCTGCTCATCCTCTCAGTATGGAAGCCAGACAACTTCCTCTGTGGGTATGTCTCAGTCATCCTTCTGAAGTGGGCTCCAGCAGTCCTGTCTCTGTGGCTCCAGATCCTAGATCTGGTCTGATCCCTTGGCTCACTCAGTCAGTCAAACGGAATAGTTAGAAACCATTGGTCATCCCCAGAGTACACGCAATACAAAAGTACACTGACCCCTGTTTTTAGGTTGGTTGTCAGATGGTTGGTTGGCATTTCTTCAATAGTAGAAGCTAATGGGGGACCCCAAACATCATCTAGTCCAACCCCCTGCAATGCAGGAATCTCAGCTCAAGCATCCCTGAGAGATGGCCATCCAACCTCCAACGAAGGAGAGTCCACAACCTCCCAAGGGAGAGTGTTCTGCTGTCAGAAAGCTTTGAATGAAAACCGTCTTAGAGTTTGGAAGAGGGGACACCTCTCCAACTGAGGGGAGGGAGCAGAATCCAAGAGAGAAGGCAGTCGGCAGGCTGGGAGAGGCAGAGAGAAAGAGGGGAGAGGTTTCAGCTGCATCCCGGGGCAGGGCAGCTGCCCAAGTTGCTCTCGTGCAAGGGTTCTTCTGCTTACGGGAGTGCCTGCTGGCCCCATTCAACTATGTTCTAGAGTAGACCCATTGAATTTAATGAAGATGACTAAGTTAGGCCCATTCATTTCGACAGGTCTACTTGAAGCAAAGCATAGTTGAGTGTCACCCTCTGTGTTCATCTCCATATATTTGTCAATTAAGCAAATTATTACAAAGGCATAGTAACTGCGTGCGGATCTAACACTTCCATAACCTGAGGGGGCCTTGGGGTCATGTGCCCCCGACTCTCCAATTCTCCAACCCAGCTGGAAGGGGATCAGAACCTTTTCCTTCCACTTTCAGTTAACTTCCCTCAAGCTTCTGGTCTCCGTTTTGCAACTGTGCTAGAGGAGAAGGGAGCAGGAGCCGATGAGTCCAAGGCTCATTCACACAATAATAAACCATAGTTTATCACAGAGGTAACCAAAATGGGGCCCTTCAGATGCTACAGACTGCAACTCCCATCCTTCCTGACCACTGGCCATGCTGGCTGAGGCTGATGGGAGCTAGAGGCCAACCTATGTTGATGCCCTCTGGTTTATTGTTACATCTGAACGCAGCCCTGAACTCTCTTGTGCTCTGCCATCCAAGAGAAATGAAACCCAGGAGTGTGGTACCCCTGGATTTTTGCTGTGAGTTGGGAAATGACCAAGGAAATTTCCCAACCCTCACTATGGAGAAGATGAGCAGATCCACCCGGTTCATTTTAATTTTAAAAAAGCAGCTCCCATGGAAAAGAGCACCAGTGGTCAGTCTACCCTACACTGTCCTGCACTTTCTCCCTGGTTGACTGACCGAACCCAAAGAGAACACCTTCATGGTTCCTCGTCATCCTGGGGAAAAAGTGACCAGTGGGGTGTCACAGGGTTCTGTCTTGGGCCCGTTGTTGTTTCACGTTTTTTAAAAATAAATGACTTGGATGAAGGAATTGAGGGGATGCTCATCAAATTTGCAGATGACACCTGTCAAGGCTGCCTCAAGTCTTAGCTCACAAAAGACCAACGCCTACGTCTTCTTGAATACAAAGGTGTTTATTGCAGTTCATGGTTTGCTTGACATCTTAGGCGCGCAGCCTTACGTCTCTTACGCTAGACCGCCGAAGTCCCGTCTGAGTCAGTCCCTCCTCTGCACCAATTTAAGAGACTTGCGCTGCTCCACCTCTTTCTCTCCTTCCTTTTCCGCAGGGTCTTTCTGCCCCCTGGGGTTTGCCCCTTCTGGATTCCTCTGACGCGGAATCAGACTGCTGCTCCCCTCCTGCGGGCTTTGGGACCTGGCCCCTCCTCCGGGCTCCCTGCACTTCCGCGCGCCTCTACATTTGAACCAGGCGCGCGCGCCAAACCTCTAACTTTCCTTTTGACAGTTACACTGCTCCCTTCACTGCTCCCTCCCCTTCCGGGAGGGCTGCTTGCTCTGACCCCCTCCTCTCTCTGCTGCTGGAGCTCCTTCCTCTGACACACTGGAAACTCCACCCCTTCGCTGCACTTTGGTGGGGAGGCTGGTCCTGACGCCCAGCTGCCACTTTGGGATCCTCCGCTGGCACCCTGCTCCTGACATTTCCCCTGGGGCTCCCTGGCCCTGACCACCGGCGCCCCTTCTGGGAATCCTCTGATTCGCTGGAAAGACTCATGGAATCCCTTGAGTCATTGTCGTCCTCTTCCTCGCTGGCTTGGAATTCCTCCCCTTCGCTCTCCATCTCCTGCCTACCCTGTGCCTCTCTCTCTGAACCCCTGACATCCATCCCCCTCGAAGCCCCCTTCCCCCCCCGCTGCTCGGGCGCAGGTTCCGGGAGCCTCGTTGTAGCGGGGGTAGATGCTGGATACAGTTCGTCGACGTCGATCTCCTCTGCTTCCAGTTCAGTGTAGGAGTGCTCGAAACCGGGGTCCTCCCCCAACACCTCCAAACCCTTCCCCCCCCTGTTACTTCAGGCGAAGCTGCTTGCCAAGGCCCCCTTCGCCACCCCACTTCTGGTTGATCGTCCCACCAATAAGAGCGGTCCGTGTCCACCCTCGAGCCCGATCCCCTTGGAGGGCTCGATTGCGGCGTGGTCTCCTCCGCAGAGGAGACCCCCTGAAGGTGCTGCCTGAAAGTGTGGGGGTAAAAAGCCAGTCGTCAAAATACTCCTCTGGCATGGGCCTGTGCGGGAAGAGTGCATGGAACTCGTCCTTAAGCCAAGATTCCTCCAGAGCATAATCTGGCACCCAACTGTTGGCGCTAGCCGGGGTACCTTCCTTGGCGAGGAGGTATTCCACTCCCTCCTCCCCCATCTCGAGTCCAGAATTTCCGTGACCTCGTTGAGTGTCGGGGTCCTCGGTGACTTCCCCCTGGTGACTTCCTACGCGGGTCTGGTGCCGTCCCTGGCTCCTGAAATCTGTGTGGGGCCTTGTAGGGTGTAAGCACCGACCTATGAAAGACCGGGTGCATTCGGGAATCCTCTGGGAGGGTCAACCGAAAAGCTACGGGATTGACCCTGCCCTCAACTTGGTATGGCCCTAGCTGTTTGTGTCCTAGCTTCTTCTTAGCTAACGACCTGGCCGGCACCGCCTGGGCTGCTAACCATACCCAGTCCCCCACCTGGATGTCTTCTCCTGCCCTCCTGTGCCTGTCTGCCTGCACTTTGTAGGCGTGTTTAGCTAGTTCCAAATGCCGTCGTAGCTCCTCGTGGACCTCCTGCAATTCTGCTGCTAAATGTTCCGCTCCCTGCGACTCCCCTGCGTCGTCGTCTCCAACGCCGGGAATGTTCTGGGGTGTCGCCCATTGTTGGCGAAGAACGGTGTCACCCCCGTTGACGCGTGCTTCGTGTTGTTGTAGGCAAACTCGGCCATCGGTAAGTAGTCCACCCAAGTTGCAGGCTTTTGATTGGCGTAACATCGCAGGTACTGCTGCATGATGGCGTTGACCCTCTCCGCTTGGCCGTTGGTTTGGGGGTGTCTCGCCGACGCTAAGTTGATCCTGACATTCAGGATGCCCAGGAGCTTCTGCCAGAAACTGGAAATGAATTGGCGACCCCGGTCGGACAAAATGGACCGTGGTAAGCCGTGCACCCGGAACACGTGGTCTATGAATAGCCTGGCGGTCTGCTCCGCTGTTGCCACCTTCGCGCAAGGAATGAAATGCGCCATCTTGGTGAACAGATCTACAACCACAAGCACCGCCGTCTTGCCCCGCGAACTGGGCAGATCAGTGACAAAGTCCAGCGCCACCCTTTCCCACGGCTGCAGTGGCGTCTCCAGCGGTTCCAGCAATCCCGCTGGCTTCTTGTGCACTGGCTTGGACCTCTGACAAGTGTCACACCTGGCGACGTAATCCGCGACTTCTCCCCGCATCTGGGGCCACCAAAAGTCCCTGGCTACTAAGTCCGCCGTCTTCTCCTTGCCGAAGTGACCCGCGCTGGGGGCGTCGTGCAACTGCTGTAGAACCTTCGCTCGGAGATCGTCCCCTGGGACATAGAGAGCACCTTTGCGGGTCAGTAGGCCGTCGCGTATCTGGAATTCGCCGTCCTTTGCTGTCCCTCTTCGCACCTCCTCCATCTTGGATTGTGCAAACGGGTCCGTCTGTAGCGCGCGTCGTACCGCGTCCAGGTCCACGGCGGCAGAAGCGCACGCCCACGCTTGCGGTGCAAAAATGTGCCTGGCTGCCACTGGTGCCGCTTCCTCAAGATACTGCGGTTTTCTGGAGAGCGCATCCGCTATGATGTTGTTGTCTCCCGGGATATACTCTATCCGGAAATCGAAATCCGCAAAGAACTCCGCCCATCTCATGTGCCTCTGGCTCTGGAGCTTCGCCGTGCGCCAATACTCCAGGTTCTTGTGGTCCGTGCGGACCTGCACGGTGTGCTTGGCTCCGATGAGGAAGTGCCGCCACGCCTTGAAAGCCGCGTGGATGGCCAACAACTCCCTGTCCCAGATGGTGTAGTTCTGTTCCGACTTGCTGAGCTTCCGTGAGTAGAAAGCGCAGGGCCTCCAGTTCCCTTGCGAATCTTCCTGCAAGAGGACGGCCCCCACTGCTCTGTCAGATGCGTCAGTCTCAACCCGCATGGGCCTGCCAGGATTCACGTGTAGCAGCTGGTCTTCGGACGCGAAGAGACTCTTAAGCCTCCTGAAGGACTGCTCCGCCTGGTCCGTCCAGGTGAACTTTTCTTCTTGGAACTGAGGGTGTCCGTGATAGCTGCCGTCTCTTTCGCGAAACCCCTGATGAACTTGCGGTAAAAGTTGGCGAAGCCGACGAACCTCTGGACCTCCTTCCGATTGCGCGGGCTATTCCAGTCCAACACCGCGCGGACCTTGGCGCTGTCCATGGCTAGGCCCTTGTCGGACAGCCGGTAGCCCAGGAAATCCACCTCCGTCACGTCGAACTGGCACTTCTCCAGCTTGGCGTAGAGTCTGTGCTCCCGTAGCCTCTGCAGGACCTCCTTTACGTCTGTTTCGTGAGTCTCCTGCGATTCCGAGAAGATCAGAATATCGTCGAGAAAGCATACGCACTTCTTGTAGAGGAGTCCTGCTAGCACGTGGTGCATGAATGCTTGAAAATGGTGGGAGCCACCTTGGAGACCAAACGGCATAACTCTGTATTCATAGGTGCCCAGCGGCGTGAACATGGCCGTCTTCCACTCGTCACCTTCCCTCATGCGTATGAGATTGTAGGCTCCGCGTAGATCCAACTTGGTGAAGATCCTCCCCTTCCTCACCGTCGCGAGCAGGTCGTCAATCTTGGGCATGGGGAAAGCCTTGGGTTTTGTCATCGAGTTTATGGCCCTATAGTCCACAATGAGTCGTTTTTGGGGCGTGTCCTTCTTCTTCACAAAAACACAGGACTGCCCCCACTGCCTTGGATTCTCGGATGAATCCCCGCTTCAAATTGTGATCTATGAACTCCTGAGCTCCTGCATCTCATCTTCAGACATGGAATACAGCTTCGCAGTCGGTAGCGTTGCCCCTGGTAAGAGGTCAATTGCACAGTCGTAGGGCCTGTGGGGTGGTAATTGGTCAGCTTCCTTCTCGCAGAATATTTGTGGGGCACTGCCTGCACCATGCCTAGATGCAGCTGTTGCCCTTCCTCCCGGCCCTCCTCGTCCTCACCAATCTGGATGCAATGTTGTGCACAGTAGGACGAGCCAAAGGTGAGCTGCCGCTGGTACCACGCCAAGGATGGACTGTGTCTATCCAGCCAACTCATGCCTAGCACTATGGGCGTGTCTGACAGTTGGGTGACATTGAAACTGATGACCTCGCGATGATTCCCAATTTTCAGCAGCATGGATGGCGTCTGTTGTACCACTTGCCCACCCAGCAACTTCCTGCCATCTACAGTGACCACATTCAGAGGCAGCGTGGCTGGTAGTAGCGCTATGCGATGCTGCTTGACGAACTGCACCCCCACGAAGTCAGCGTTGCTCCCTGAGTCAATCGTAATGGGGACTTCCAGGGTGAGTCCATTAGGCAGCTGGAGAGTAGCAGTGAGCTGCACCACTGGCTTAGGTGGTAAGGGGTCTGTAGGCTGCAAAAGCGCTGGGGACTGCTTCATTGACGTGCCTGGTGGAGCCCCAGCGTCTCTCCCTCCAACCAGGCATTCTCGTTTCCCTGAAACTGCTCCCCTTGGAAAGCTTCCCTGTTACTGTTGCTAAGGCTGCAGTGTGCTTCTGGAGCCTCTGGGGACACTCTTTAGCCATGTGCCGTGCACTGTCACAGATGTAACACTTCCTGGTCCCTCTAGGAGGCTTCGCTTTGACTGCTCCTGACGCTGAGGCTCCGGCAGCTGTCTGAGCCTTTGCACCACCCAGTTCCATCTGTTCTTCCCCTCTGCCAGGACAGGCGAAAGGCGTGAACGTTCCAAGTCCCTAGAAGGAAAAGGAGGCGCTCTAGCTGGTGGGCGGACGTGACGCCCTCCTCCCTGTGCCAAGGGCGGTCTTCTTGGCGCACCCCTATCGTGAGTGCCCTCTGCACGACGTCTGCTAGGGTTTGAGGTCTGTCTCCCTAGCCAGCTCATCTTTCACTGAGCCGTGTAGCCCTTCCCAAAACAAGTCCCTTACTGCCAGGGAGTCCTTTTCCCAGCCCAGCACATTCAGCAATGCAAAAAAGCGAGAATGGTACTGACGCACTGTAGCCTTGCCCTGCCGCAATCCATGCATCTCCTGACGTGCCACATCAACGTCAACAGTAGATTGGAAGCAAGCGTCCATGGCTTTGAGAAATTCATCAGAGTCCCTGCGTGCAAGACCATCTTCGCGCCATAAATTGCGTAACCAATTCCTTGCTTCCCCATGCAAATGGGACACAATGAACCCCACTTTTTCCTCCTCATCCTTGAAGTCCTTTCAAGTAAATGCAGTGCATATACGACGTCTGCTCTGAAATTGGGAAATGCTTCAGGTTCCCATCGAAGTGGGCTACTAAATTGCCCCCTTCGTCCCAGTCCGATTCCCTCTGATCTGGACCCCGGGAACCCCTCTCTGCACGCCCGATCCCACCTGGCTTGCAGATCCTGGCATCGCGCTTCTGCTTCTGCAACTGTCTTCTGAGAAACCACGACGGCAGTGGAGAGCTCGGTGACTGCGTTTTGCAGGGACGCTATCTGCTCCTCAGTAGTCATTGCTGCCAAACTCGTGAGCTGTGCAAAAAAATTTTTGCTTTTGAGACGGGACTTACTGTCAAGGCTGCCTCAAGTCTTAGCTCACAAAAGACCAACGCCTACGTCTTCTTGAATACAAAGGTGTTTATTGCAGTTCATGGTTTGCTTGACATCTTAGGCGCGCACTAGCCGAAGTCCCGTCTGAGTCAGTCCCTCCTCTGCACCAATTTAAGAGACTTGCGCTGCTCCACCTCTTTCTCTCCTTCCTTTTCCGCAGGGTCTTTCTGCCCCCTGGGGTTTGCCCCTTCTGGATTCCTCTGACGCGGAATCAGACTGCTGCTCCCCTCCTGCGGGCTTTGGGACCTGGCCCCTCCTCCGGGCTCCCTGCACTTCCGCGCGCCTACATTTGAACCAGGCGCGCGCGCCAAACCTCTAACTTTCCTTTGACAGTTACACTGCTCCCTTCACTGCTCCTCCCCTTCCGGGAGGGCTGCTTGCTCTGACCCCCTCCTCTCTGCTGCTGGAGCTCCTTCCTCTGACACACTGGAAACTCCACCCCTTCCCTGCACTTTGGTGGGGAGGCTGGTCCTGCCGCCCAGCTGCCACTTTGGGATCCTCCGCTGGCACCCTGCTCCTGACATTTCCCCTGGGGCTCCCTGGCCCTGACCACCGGCGCCCCTTCTGGGAATCCTCTGATTCGCTGGAAAGACTCATGGAATCCCTTGAGTCATTGTCGTCCTCTTCCTCGCTGGCTTGGAATTCCTCCCCTTCGCTCTCCATCTCCTGCCTACCCTGTGCCTCTCTCTCTGAACCCCTGACAACACCAAACTGGGAAGGGTAGCCAATGCCACAGAAGACAGAATCGGGATTCAAGATAACCTTAACAGATTGGAGAACTGGGCCCAAACTAACAAAATGAAATTCAATAGGGTCAAATGTCAGGCTCTACATTTAGGCAGGAAGAACCTGATGCACATATATAGGGTGGGGGAGCCCTGGCTTGCCAGCAGTTTGAGTTTCCTGGAGGGAAAAAAAATACAAAATTTGTAAGTCTGCACAACAACTTGTTGTTGTTGCTTAGTCGTTTAGTCGTGTCCGACTCTTCGTGACCCCTGGACCAGAGCACGCCAGGCACTCCTGTCTTCCACTGCCTCCCACAGCTTGGTCAAACTCATGCTGGTAGCTTCGAGAACACTGTCCAGCCATCTCGTCCTCTGTTGTCCCCTTCTCCTTGTGCCCTCCACCTTTCGCACAACAACTTACTGACTACTAATATTTTCCCAGCTGCTAAAAGGTCCCAACTAAATGGTGATTTGTCTCCAATTGCACTTAAGGTTCCCAAACTCACTTTCCCCATCCTTTCCCTCCAGAATACTAGCGAGACCAATGCCAGTATCACCGTCATCCTTTGCTGCGGGCAAATGGCATTCGGGGCACGGCAGGATGAGCTCCCCTTTTTTATAGACCTCATCACAGAGGAGCTCCTCTTCCAATTCCAGAACAGCAGGAAGGTATGGCTCTGATTATCACACGGACTCCTGTTGTTTGTTCTCTCAGCTATACCATACTTTTCCGTGTATAAGACAGGGTGTTTTTTTTATTATTAAAAAATGATGTTTAAAAATGAGGGTCATCTTATACACAGATAGTGCATAGGGGGGACGTGGGTTTGGTTGCCGCTGCAAGCCGGAGATAGTCAGTGGCTATTGTGCGTGTTATTAGTGGCTGCGGCAAGGGGTGGTGTTGACTGGCTGTCGCTGCGGAAATTGGGAAGGCGATTGGCGGTTTCTGCCGGCGAGGGACAGACAATAGGTGGGTTTTGCGACGTGTGTGAGTGGCAGCATAGGTCCAGCGGGTGAGCAATTTTTGGAATCCCCTCCCCCCAAATAGCTGAACAACTGTGGGTAATCCTCCCCCCCAAAAGCTCAGCAACTCTGGGCAATCCTCCCCCCCCCCCTTTTCTTAATTTGGAGTCCCCCTAATAGGGGTGTCTTATACACGAAAAAATATGGTATATCCTGCCTTTCTCCTGTCATATGACTCCAGGAGCCAGGAGGTGTGCAACCATTTCCCCCGTGGTCACCATCCAGGCACTGAGCAGACCTCCTGAGCTCCGTCAAGGTCCTTGCACCACATGCCTTCAGACTGTGCCCTAGGGCAGGGTCTTTGGCTTCATCCACCGAAGGGTTGTAGACTGGGGTGTATACTGGCTCCACCCTTAGGACCAGATGGGGCATTACAGTGGTACCTTGGTTCTCAAACTTGATCCATTCTGAAACCAAAGCGTTCCAAACCAAGGCATGCTTTCCCATAGAAAGTAATGCAAAATGGATTAATTCTTTCCAGACTTTTTTTAAAGAAACCCTAAAACAGCAATTTAACATGAATTTAACTATCTAACAAGACCATTTCTGGGTTAGGGTTAATTTTTGGATTGGGTTAGTGTTAGGGTAAGGATTAGAATTAGGGTTAGGGTCAGTGTGGCTTTATGTTTCCTTGTGATTTTGATTCAAACTCAATTTTATAAAATCCCTTCTCCTTTCAGAACGAGGCTTTGAAGAAGAGCTTTATGAAGGCAGCAACTCTAACAACCAAGGCGCTTGTGCAATCAATTGCGGGATATGTCACCTTCCCCCACAAAGAGGAGCTCACCTTCTGCATCATAGTGAGGAAAAAGAAAAAGAAAAAAAGAGGGGGAATGTCCTGGGGTTTCTTTTCAGAGCGTTTTTTCTTAAAAATAGCTGTGTAGGTCTAGCTCTGGGTTGCATGTTCTGACCATCTGGCCCCAAACCATTTCTGCTCCAGCTCAAGTTTCCAAACCCTCTTGAAAGGCAGCCCTACATTGTGGCAACCTCAGCAGGCTGTCACCAGCGCCTAAGTAAAAGAGGCTAGGTTCTCCCAGGAGGAGAGGGCTGTCGATGGCTCCCAGCCATGATTGCTATGTTCTACCTCCACAGAGGAAGAAAGCAATGTTTCTGAATATAGTTGCTGGAAGCCACAGGCAGGGAGAGGGCTCTTGAGCTCATGGTCTGCTCCCTGGTTTCTCACAGACGTCTGGTTGGACACTGTGAGAATGCTGTGAGGATGCTGGACTAGATGGGCCCTTGGCCTGGTCCAGAAGACTGATCTTATGCCGTTCTTATGCAGTAGAGCTCTGCCCAGGAGAAAAAGGGATCTTATTCCCAGATCCAGGAAGCCCACTCTTCTCCTCTAGGAGGACCCACTTGCCAATTGCAAAGAAGTTGTCAAGTGGGCTGGATAGAGAGCACAACTCAGGGCTTGGTGTGGTGGTGGCAGGGATGGCGCCTCCAGTTCCCTGACATGCTGTGTGCTTCCCCACCACAGGAGGTTATCAAAGAGGAGCCGATGGCATCGCTCACCATCCTACACCAGGCGATGGAAACTATCATTCGCATGACGTAAGTACGGCCAGACACAGTACATATTTCTTCACCAGGTTTATGGACTGCTGGGTGCTGATCCTTTCCTCTCCCCTTCTTTCTCTTTTCAGTGCCTTGAGACCACGCATGGACCCCCTGCTCCGGTCTCAGTTGCTACAGAAAACAATCAGAAAGGTCTTCCAATTGCCATCATTGCAGGTTACGAAGGTCAAAGCCGGGAGCTCTGTGCCAGCAACACAGAGCCAGGTGACTGGACCTTCTGCTTCTGGAGGAAAATGGGGTTGCCAGGTTAAAGGATTTGAGGGCAAAGAGTCTGAGCCGTGTAAGCTGCAAAGAATGCTGCCCGAGACACTTGACCCATCACAATGATGTAACAACCAGAGACTTTGGGTGTATATTTTTGATTTCAATCATGTTTCCATATTTATTGCATTTCACCTTTGGCTAGAATGCATCCACAAATGATTCCTGCATGCCTGCATTTTGTGACTCTCATGCCTCCCTCCTACGCTACATTTAATTTTATTTGTTTGCTTGTTTGTTTATATGCTGCCCATCTGACTGGGTTAGTCTAGCCACTCTGGGCGGCTTCCAACAAATTAAAACACAGCCAGACATCAAATATTTAAAACTTCCCTATGCAGGGCTGCCTTCAGATGTCTTCAGACGGAAGTATAATGATGTATCTCTCTGACATCTGATAGGAGGGTGTTCCACGGGGTGGGCCCCACCACCAAGGCGGCCCTCCGCCTTGGAACACCCCAAGGAAGTTGAGCCCAGTGTGGAGTCCTGTATCTTTATATCGCATGACCTGTAACCTTACATACATCAAGAAACGTTTGATGTTTATGACTCTTTGTGTGCCATGTTTGAACCCCTGCATAAGCTTTGTTACGAATTTGGACTAGAAGGCTCCAGAGCATATGGGATTTCCATGGGAGTCTTCAGCTTCTAAGTGCTTTTGCTTTTCTCCTTCCAGGACTGTTATCAAGAGACCATCTACATCTGGCTCAACATGCTCACCAGCTTGCTGTCGGAGGCCCCTCTCTGGAGACGCTGCAGGAGATATTAGTGGTAAGGGAGCCCCCAAGGTTTCAGAGCAGGGGAACCAGCAGCTCCCATGCCGGAGGACAGACCCTCTTGAAATGATTGCACGGGGGGCATCTGTGGCCAACTCGCTGGTTGTGGGTGCTGATGGTCAAGTGGGCCTCTGTTCTGCTAGCAATGCTTGTGCAAGGCACACAAGATATGTCCTCTGCTGATGGCGTATGGGGAAGGGCCGTGGCTCGGGGCAGAGCATCTGTCTTGCATGCCCAAGGTCCCCGGTTCAGTCCTCAGCATCTCCAGGTGGGGCTGGGAAAAGGCTCTCTGTCTGAAAGCCCAAAGGGCCAACTGCCAGTCCTCAGTACCTGTGGATCAATGGCTGGGCTTGGTCTAAGGATGCTTCCTGCATTCCATTGCTATGGCTGTGGTGAGGTGTATGTTGTATTGTTGTAATTATCACACACACAAACACACAAATGACAGATTGCAGGGCGGTTCACAACATAAAAATACAAAATCAGAACAGAAAATGCATAATAAAACAAAAGCAACCCAAGAGCCAATTAATATCTAATTCTACTAATGCTTTTTTTTTTAATGGCTTCTTTTTTCTGTGTCTTTAGTTGTTCTTGTTTTGTTTGTAAGCTGCCTCGAGACCCTGTCTGGGAAAGAGGTGGGGTATTAATAATAATAATAATAATAATAATAATAAACAAATTGCAGCAAACTTTCTCCTTTACAAAACAACCCCTTTTTGCAATTTGTCCCCTCTATGAAGCTTTGTGAATTTGCAAACCTGGATTAAGGGTTGTCCTTCCATGTGATGACGATGATTTCTCTCTCACAGCACACAAATGGCTGGATTGACTCCACAAAAATCAGTGAGAGGCAAAGAGCAGTCAAGACCACCAACGTACTCATGAAATATGTCTCCGAGCATTTGGACTTTGATGTGAGTGACCAAGGCTTAATGCTGCAATTTCAAATCGTATTGCATTGGAAAGTTCAGGTGTGAACTAGATGAAAGCTGTATGGCATGGCCATCCCAAGGGAAGGTGCCAGCCAGTGCTATTTTTCTAGAAAAGAGGTGCCAGGACTCACCATGAACTCACCTCCCTCATTCTCTTATAATGGCAATAGCGCCCACCTGAGAGGTGCCAGTGTTAGCTATTTGCAGTATAGTAGCACTGCAGAGAGCTTGCTGGGGAGACCATGCGTTAAAAAGGGACTCAAAAATAACTAAACAAGGTTTTAATAACAAAAACAAAAACTCCTTATACACTAAATACACCAACAACAAACCAGGCCCAACCACCAACCCATCCCCCAGGGTAACGGAAGAGCTAGGTGATGCTCCTTATATACTACACCCAAATGCTGACACAGCTTAATCAATACAACTCAGCACCTGCTGTGTTTCACAGCTGTAAAGCTGGGTCTCGTTATTTTGCTCTGGCCCCTTAAAGACATACACATCGGGTGGAACAATGATGAACCTTTACATTTAAAGAAACCATTCAACATTTCCCTGCGGTTCATCATTGTGGAACAAAATCATAAAGCATATTTTGTACATGTCTTTCATGAGTAACCTTTGGAAGTGCTTTAGTAAAAATGTCTGCAATTTGATTGTCACCTGGAACATATTGAAATACAATCATTTCGTCAGCAATTAGTTTCTTTACAAACTGTAAACGTAACCTTAAGACTCTAGTGCGCTGGGCATTGGTCTCTGAACACAGGATAGCGAGTCCGCTCTGGGAATCAAGGTAAACTCTTACTGGTAGTGTTACTTTCATCTGTAGGTCTGCAAATACTTGCAGATACCATTCCACATCACGAGTGGCCTGAACGCATGCACATAATTCACTCTCTGTTGTGGAGAGACAAATAATGGTTTGTGTCTGGGACTTCCATTCAAATGGACAACCGTTATAACAAAACACCATACCAGACACATCCCTGCAATTATTTTGTTCCACTGCATGAGATGCATCGCAGAAAATTTCAAAACCTTTGTCAATACATGATGTAAACTGCAACCTATAATGTTTGGTATGTTTAAGGTACACTACCACTCTCTTAAGAGCAGAGAAACATTGCGTAGTGGGCTTTTCCACAAATTTTGCCAGAAAGTGAAAGGCATAAGTTATATCTGGTCTTGAGATTCTTTGAATGAAATTTAGCTTGCCTATAGCAGAACGATACAAAGTTTTGTTAGGAAATGGCTTATCTTCACCTGTAAAGGTGAAACCACACACCATAGGCGTTTCCTTCCTATTTGCATTTTCTTAAACCCATTTTGAATCAATAAGTCTCATATCTGGGGTTTGTGGTACAAGAGACCAGGTGTTATGCTCTTTTAAAGAAGCTATCTCAGAGTTGATAGCTTTATACCAATTTACAGCTTGGTGCTTAGGTAAATTCTGAACATCATTGTAGCTTTTTAGCTCAAAAACTGCCTTATTGGCATACACAGTATTTAAATGTTCATCTGCAAAACGTTGTGGCTTCTGTCTCTTTCTATCTGAACGTCTCAGTCCGGAAGGAGAGTCAGACTCCTCAGACTTAATGGGACTAAGTGAACTACTAGTTTCAGGTTGTAAATCATCATTGTCAGACTGAAGAGGTGCCTGTAGGCTAAGCTCACAGTCAGAAAACTCAAGAGAATCTAAGCTCCCCTCGGGTGCCTGTGACTTTAAATCATCAAACAAATTATCAGATTCAACAGGCTTTTTGTCTTGTTCCATTAATTCAGAAGCACCATTTCCTGCTGCTGCTGCTGCTGCTTCCTCTTCTTCCTCAGTGTCATTTATACCGTTAGTATCTTGGAAAACAGCAACGCCATTCCAATTTACAGTTTGTATCATGCTTCTGGTAATATGAAATTTGCCAGTTGCTGGTATGTAAATTCTGTACGCCCCCTGCTGGTAGCCCATTAATTTTCCCTGAACACTACGCTCACCCAATTTCTGCCTAGCGGGATAATGCATAATTACATCTGAATCCCAAATGCGTAGGTATTTCAGATTAGGGTGTTTTTTAAACAGCTTCTCATATACCTGAAGGAGCGTCTCCACCCCCATCGTTCTGCCCGGACGCTGAGGTCCAGCGCCGAGGGCCTTCTGGCGGTTCCCTCATTGCGAGAAGCAAAGCTACAGGGAACCAGGCAGAGGGCCTTCTCGGTAGTGGCGCCCACCCTGTGGAACGCCCTCCCATCAGATGTCAAAGCAATAAATAACTACCTGACATTTAGAAGGCATCTTAAGGCAGCCCTGTTCAGGGAAGCTTTTAATCTGTGATATTTTACTGTATTTTTTGTTTCTATGGAAGCCGCCCAGAGTGGCTGGGGAAACCCAGCCAGATGGGCGGGGTACAAATAATAAATTATTATTATTATTATAGGGGGTTGTTAGGATATTTCCGTTCCACCTTAAACAGGGAGCAGGCTGTTGTTTGAGTCACAGTCTGCGTACTTCCGGCTCACAGGAAGTTTATGTTTTGTACATAGCTTTTGTTTCTCTCTCTGTGCCTGAACACGCAGGCAAGCAGTCATGTTTTTTCTTTGTTCTGACCAACGCTGAATAAAGTTGTAAATAATGCTCTCCTGAGTGCATCTTTCATTGTGCGAACTCTGCAAAGGTAGTGCACAAGTCCTTGAATGTGGAAAGCTGTTTCTGAGGCTTGTGTCGCTAATTGACTGATACTGCGTTCCTACGGGAGGTTGATGGATCGTCCGGAGTCGACGTGGGGGCATGATGGCCTTTGTCTCCCTGGCAGTATCCCAACAGGGGTGACATCTAAACCAGAATGATAACTGCGATTTCTAACGCAACAAAAGGCATTGAGCGCTTCAGCCCAAAAGACTTTGGGCAGATTAGCATTGTGCAGATAAGTTTTAACCCCTGCCTGCAGGTCACGCTGCACAACTTCAACAAGCCCATTTTGCCAGGGACTTGGGGGGCAAGATAACTCATGAGTAGTCCCCTGCGCTTCCAGGAAATTCTCAAAATCCTCAAAAACAAATTCCCCACCCCGGTCAGTAAACAGGTTCTTAATTGGTTTGTTAAAATGCGTTTTTACCCAGTTGCAAAAAGCTCTGTACTTCTCAAATGCTTGGGACTTCTCAGCTATTGCATAAGTCCAACAATATCTACTATACTGGTCTATCAGGGTAAGCCAGTACTTAGAACCTCCTAATGATGGTGGGAGTGGCCCAACTAAATCACAATGTACACGCTCAAATGGCTCAGTTACTTTCCTATCTGAGCACCTACCCTTGAGTGCAACCTTAATGTTATTCTTGCAACAGGATAGACATTGCATAAAGAATTTACATGGTTTTAAGTTTAGGCCATTAATAATATTCTTTGTCTTAATTACATCAGCAAAATTCAGATGTCCCAGAATTCTGTGTGCTTCATGGGCACACCCGGAATGTGGCCTTACATTCCTCAACCCCTGGCTTGACTGTGCTGCTCTGCAATTTATAGGCGATTGGGAGTAGGTGCGAAAATACAGTCTATATAAACCATCAGAGTCCTGGGCATACAATAGACGTTTGTTCCCATCGAAAAACTCACACATTGACTTTAAGAAACGCACAGTTATGCCTTGACAAGCAAAACATCTTACTGACAATAAATTGTCCACTGACGGGCAGTAAATGCAGTTCGCTATCGTAATGTTTAAAGAGTCAAGTTTAATAGCGACTGCAAGACTTGTGAATTGGCTAAATGTACATTACCAATTTCCTCTTTAAAAGAAATAAACAAGCTTCGATCGTTGCAAATGTGCTGAGATGCTCCTGAGTCCACAATAAAAGACTTCCACTTGGCACCTTTAATTCTTTTACGATCTGTAGTCCGAGCATGAAAAGCTCGTGGCTCGTTTCTGTCTTTATGGTACGATGTCGGCTGCTGGGCTGACGACCGTGACTGATGAACAGAAACAGACTTGGGAGTACTTTGCTTTCTTTTGGATCTGCAGTCCTTTGCAAAATGTCCCTGCTTATTGCAGAACCAATAATGCTTTGCAGCTTTAAATGCAGTCGTATCACCACAAGTTTGCATATGGCGTTCCTCGTTGTTTCTGGAAATAGGAGTGCTTATGGCACAAGCCTCCCTTCTATCCAACTCGCCCATTAATCTTGCCGTTACCCCTTCCACAGTTAATTGTGCTGGTGGAACGGCAGATATCTGGCTAGCTACACCATCAAAGTCCTCATTAAGGGAACAAAGAATGATAAAAACATACTGAATATCCGGTATCTCCATGTCCCTTTGAATTAATTTGCAGCGTATTGCCTCCAGACGTCTCAAGTGTGCTGCCAAATCACCACCAGGCTGCAACTTGGTCTGGTACAGCTGCTTGAAACGTCAATGCAGACGCTGACTCTTTTCTAATATGCACTGCTGCAAGACTGTCCCACATTTCTTTGGCAGTTTTCTTATTTCTTATATAGACTACTTGCTGGTCGCTGACTGCCAAATTAATTATTGCCCTGGCTTTTGCATCTCCTTTCGACCAAGCATTAGTTACAGGGTCAGGAGGGTCATCAGTTACATAGGTCCATACTTCTCTAGAGGTCAAAAGCGCCTCCACCCGAAAAGACCATAAACTATAGTTCTCATCTGTTAGCTGTGGGAACACCAGAGCCTTCTCGGCTTCTGGAACCCGGTCAACCATTCTGGAACTCTTCCAGACCCACAGAAACTACACTAACAGGAGAAGGAGTTTTCAAACCTTTCTCAGAGTCAAAAAATATGCAGTCATCCACTCAGCAGCTGGGCCCATAACCAAAGATGTTAGCTATTTGCAGTATAGTAGCACTGCAGAGAGCTTGCTGGGGAGACCATGCATTAAAAAGGGACTCAAAAAGTACTTAAACAAGGTTTTAATAACAAAAACAAAAACTCCTTATACACTAAATACATCAACAACAAACCAGACCCAACCACCAACCCATCCCCCAGGGTAATGGGAGAGCTAGGTGCTGCTCCTTATATACTACACCCAAATGCTGGCACAGCCATTCAACATTCAACCATTCAACAGCCAGAACTGAGTTCCAGTGAGTTCTGGCTGGGGAAAAAGCCCTGGGGCAAGCCTAGCGTGGACCACCTAAGCACAGCTCTCTTGCCATGCGCCCCTCTGCCACCTTTGCCGACTGAAAGCATGCCAGACGGTTTTCTTTTGCTGGGCTCTGTGGGACGAGGGCTGACTGTGCATCTCTCTCTCTCCACCTCCTAGGTATCCCAGGATTTCCCCCTTCTTGGGCAGCTGGTGGCGCTCTTGTCCATTCACCTCACAGACAACGTGAAGGAGATTGGCCTGCAGTCAGCGGAGGCCTTGTACCATCTCCATTACATCATGATAGCCAAAATGGGTGAGGGCGATGCTGGGAAATGGCTTGTTTCTTGTAAGCTGCAGGGTGGGAGATCTGTAGCCCTCCAGAGGCTGCTCCAACTCCCATCATCCCTGAGTGTTGCCCATGCTGGCTGCTGCTGGGGTTGATCAGGGAGTTCAGGAGGGCCAGAATTCGTGCCAGCACTGGCCTAACGCCAACACCCTGTTGGCCAGAGACGAGAGGGCAGTCTTGGGGGAGGGATTCACTGCTGAAGAACATCAGAAAAGCCTTCTGGACCTGACCAGTGGCCCAGCCCAGTCCAGCATCCTGTTCCCACAAGGGTTGACCAGATGCCTGTGGGAATCCAGCAAGCAGAATTCAAGCTCTTTCTACTCCTGTACTTTGCTGCCTCTGACCATGGAGGCAGAGCATAGCCATCCTGGCTAATAGCCATGGGTAGCCTTCTCTTCCATGAATTTGCCTCATCTTCTTTGAAAGCCATCTTGGTCCATGGCCATCAGTGCCTCCTGTGGCAGGGAGTTCCAGAGTTTAGCTGTGCACTGCAAGAAGAAGGACCATCCTGAAACTTCAGTTTCATTGGAGGTCCAGTTGTTCTCATGTTCTGACGGTGAGAGAGAAAGCTTTCTCTCTCCACTTTCTCCATGCCATACATTGTGACTCCTCTTCCTCGCTGTTTTTCTAAACGGAACCCCCCCCAAATGCTGCAACCAGCTCCACAAGCACCCCAGTCCTTTTGGTTGCCCCCTTCTGAACCTTTTTCCCAGTTCTGAATTATAATTTTTGAGGTGAAATTGATAATTGTTTTTGTTGGTCCCAGTGGGAAAACTGGAGGTTTTGAGCAGGGAGCACTAATGCTGGGTTCTTTTGCATGCATATTCCAAAACCCGACCCTGCTTAGGTAAGGAACTGGAGAAGAGGAGGAATAAAAATAAGAAAGGCAACATGGTCAGATGGGTCCGAGAAGACTTCTTCATCCCTGGGCCCTCCCTCTTCCACTACAACATCGCAAAAGTGGCCAAGGTAGGGGTGGCTTTTTGTACTCTTTATTGCTAAGACCGCAGCCACTCACAGTTAGCAAAGATTTGCTCATTCGGGCCAATGGGGCCCTGCCCCACCAACTTCAGCCTGCCCTCAGGCAGCCCACGCCTTCTAGGGATGAGGGAGAGATTCAGAGCAGTTCACACTGGAAGCCAAAGCTATCAAATCGAGGCTTTCAGAAACAATAGGAGAACTGAAACACAACCCGCCTTTGAAATTCACATGTCTTTGAATTTCGCAATGCCAAACAGTGTGTAAAAAAATACATGCGTGAGCTATTAGTGTAAATAACATTCAGAAATGCATTGTATTAGAATAAATTGCTCCAAGACAAGTGCCCGGTAGCCTAAACTGCATGCAGAATTCTACTTATTGTAATTCTACCAGGTGCTGGGAGACCTAGGGTTCAGATCCCCACTCAGCCCTGAAACTCAAGAGTCAGTCACAGTCTCTCAGTCTAACCTATCTCATGAGACTAAAACGGGAGGAGAGAGAACCATGCATTGCCACCTTGGGCTCCTCAGGGTGGAAAAAGAATAGGAAAAGTTGACTCATTCGGTGCATCTTTCACAAGGCACTGCCAAGCCAATGAACTATGCCAACCTTGTGGTGGGTGTTTTTGTTGTATATTAAGAACTAAACCCACAGCCGGCAGGTTCCCACCCAGTCTGTTTGGCATTGGTTATATAACAGATAGCCACTATTATTCATCCTCTCTGTTCCTGCGAGAATTTTTTTTTAAATTTTCTAGTCTGATTTTAGATTGAACCTCTTCATGTTCCAATGTCATAACCAATTTAAGATGTGGATCGAAAATAGCAAGGCGTCACCTGACTTTTAGTTTTGTTTGTTGTAAAATATTTCAGCTACTTAAATAAACACATAAATAGAATCACCGAATTGTAGAGTTGGAAGGGACGTGGGGGTCACTTAGTTCAACCCTCTCAAGGCAGAGTGGAGATGTCTTTCACTTGGTTTGTGAAGGCACGCTTGGACTACTGAAACGTGGTCAGAGTGTGGAGCAGAAGAAAACTCCCTCTTCTTTCTTCTTTGTGCCAGGCTTTTGGGGAGCACCTCACGCCCAGCCAGATCAACGAAGTCGTGCTGAAGGCGATTGACAACCTGATAGTGGAAGACAGAGCCGTCTCTCAGGCTGCAGGAAAGCTCCTAAGGTCCTTCCTTGAGGAATGCGGCATGGAAATGGAAGACGTAAGGCTCAAAACAGAGGCAGGGGGAGCAGGTTTCCTCTAAATTAAACATTCTCTTCGGACTTAGAATTAGCTTCTTTCTGGGAAGTAAGAAGGCATTGTGTGGGAAGTAAGAAGAGCCAGTGTGGTGTAGTGGTTAAGAGCGGTAGTCTCGTAATCTGGGGAACCGGGTTCGCTTCCCCGCTCCTCCACATGCAGCTGCTGGGTGACCTTGGGCCAGTCACACTTCTTTGAAGTCTCTCAGCCCCACTCACCTCATAGAGTGTTTGTTGTGGGGAGGAAGGGAAAGGAGAATGTTAGCCGCTTTGAGACTCCTTCGGGTAGTGATAAAGCGGGATATCAAATCCAAACTCTTCTTCTTCTTCTTCAATTTCCGTGTCTGTGGCTCGAGCCTCTGTTTCCATCCTGCTGCAGTTCGGCTTCCAAAAATCAACCACCCTGTTTTTCATGTCCCTGTCTGCTTTGGCAGTATTTTAATTACATTATTCCACCCTGTTCATTTCAGTGCAAAGGAAACACAATATGGGCAACACTGAGGTCAATTAATAAAACTTTGCTATGATCAAAATGATCACCCTCCCAAAACTAACCTACTTATTCCAAACCCTCCCAATCTGGATTCCCCCAACACTACTCCGCAGATGGCAGAGAAAACTACACTCTTTTATCTTCTCACATAAAAAACCAAAAATAAGCCCCAAATACCTGCACCTCCCCACCTCAGAAGGAGGATGGGGAATCCCCAACATGGAAGCATATTACATTGCCAGCCAAATACTCCATATAATCCCATATATACTAGAAGATGAGACAAAACAATGGGTACACCTAGAGAGGGACATAATTGAAAATACCAACCCCATCCCCACTAATCCCCTGCCCTACCACCCATTATTCCACCATGCAGCACAAAACCTCCAGATAAAAACCTGGCAAACCAAAGGCTTATATCGCCCAATAGACTTCTGTAAAAATAACAAACCTTTGTCAACACAAGAAATACAAGACAAACTAGAAGACACCCAAATGCCCTGGTTAACACAACACCAATTACATGCTGTAACTCCCTCTTAAACAATGCCCTCTTAAACAATCCAACAATAAAATCAGCAGCAACTAGGCCCCTGATAACCTTTGAAAACCTCCTCCTAACAACAAAGGGAAACAGTAAAGGGATGGTATCCGCAATATACAAAATACTACTCCAAAATCCCACAAACCCCCTAGACGCAATCAAAAAACAATGGGAGAATGACATAGGCTATGAGATTAACCCCACTCAATGGATCAGAATGTGATCTAAACCCCCCTTTAAATCCATATTGTCAGGGCTGCCTCAAGTCTCAGCTCACAAAAGACCAACGCCTATGTCTTCTTATATACAAAAGTGTTTATTGCAGTTCATTGTTTGCTTGACATCCTAGGCGCGCAGCCCTACGTCTGCTACGCTTAGACCGCTGAAGTCCCCTCTGAATCCGTCCCTCCCCTGCACCAATTTAAGAGGCTTGCGCTGCCCCACCTCTTTCTCTCTTTCCTTTTCCACAGGGTCCTTCTGCCCGCTGGGGTTTCGCCCCTCCTAGATTCCTCTGACGCGGAATCAGACTGCTCTTGCCCCCTCCTGCGGGCTTTGGGACCTGGCCCCTCCTCCGGGCTCCCTGTACTTTCGCGCGCCTCTACATTTGAACTTGGCGCGCGCACCCAGCCTCTAACCTTCCTTTCAACAGCTACACTACTCCCTTCACTGCTCCCTCCCTTCCGGGAGGATGGCTTGCTCCGACCTCCCTCCTTTCTCTACTGCCGGAGCCGCTTCCCTGACACACTGAAACCTCCACCCCTTCGCTGCACTCTGGCGGGGAGGCTGGTCCTGACACCCAGCTGCCACTTTGGGATGCCCAGCTGGCCCCCTGCTCCTGACACGTCCCCCCTGGGGCTCCCTGGGCTTGACCACCGGCGCCCCTTCTGGGAATCCTCTGATTCGCTGGAAAGACTCATGGAATCTCTTGAGTCATTGTCATCCTCTTCCTCGCTGTCCTGGGATTCATCCCCATCGCTCTCCATCTCCTGCCTACCCTGTGCCTCTGTCCCAGAACCCCTGACACATATCAATGAAAAGAACTCACTCTGAAACCCACCTACAGGTGGTACCTAAGACCAAGAAAACTAGCGCTAATATGCCCAGGAACCTCACCAAAATGCTGGAGAGGGTGCACCTCCACAGGCACATACCTCCACATGTGGTGGGAGTGCCCCAAAATCCAACTATTCTGGACAACAGCCATACGAGAAATATGTAAAATAACTAAGCAAGTATTAGACATCACCCCAGAATTGGCCCTACTAAACATCTTCCAAGACAACAATGCCCACTTACACCACAAAGAACTCATAACCCACCTACTTTCAGCAGCCAGAAACACCATAACCAGACACTGGAGAGACTTGTCAGGAGTAAGCCTGGACCAATGGTACCAAATAGTATGGGAAACAGCCCTACTAGAAAAATTAACCAATAAACTGAAACTGACACAGGGACAAACAGAAGAAGACGCCTTCACCCCGGTATGGCTCCCCTTTATCACGTACACAGCCCAACAAGACAATGACAATAATCCACCAACAGCATACAAATCAATATGGCTAACCTGATCCAAAACACCCACCCACCCCACTCTCACACGAAAACAAAGATCATCACAGCCAATCACAAACAAACAACCACACCCTAGGCCAACCCCAACCTCTCTCACCACCAAAGGAACACAAGTGGAGAAACAATTTACATATTTTCTGAATCGAACCAGTCAATGTCAAGATTAGATCAAATATGGGTTTCGAATGAACTGACTCCAAGAATACTACAAGTTGAAATACAATCTAAAGTAATCTCAGATCATAATCCAATAAAATTGGAACTAAAAGGCTTTGAAGAAAGAACATTTAGATGGAAAATTAAGGGTTATCTTTTGGACGACCAGTAAATTGTAGGAAAAGCACAAAAGAAACTAGCTGAATACTTTGTTGATAATTGCAACAAGGGTACAAAGATGAGCGTAGTATGGGACGCAAGCAAGGCTGTGATGCGAGGTTTTTTTATCCAGCAGAATTCATTGAAGAATAAAAACAGAGAAAAGGGGAAAAGGAAATTTTAAAGCAGATAATGGACAATGAACAAAAATTTATTAGAAAACCAAATAACTCCAAAATAAAACAAGAAATTAAGACCTTGCAATCACAATTTGCAATGATAATAAACAAAGAAGTGGAATGGAATATTAAAAAGTTAAGACAGAGAAACTTTGAATTCGCTAACAAATCAGGCAAATGGCTTGCGTGGCAAATCAAAAAAAGAAAGGAGCAGAACACAATTAACAGAATCATTGTGAATGGCGAAGAGATAGATAATCCGAAAGAAATTAGAAAAGGATTCTTGGACTTTTACAGACAACTATATAAAAATAAAGAAAGGAATAATATGAGGAAAATTGAGAGATTTTTAAAAGGGAAAAAGGTGCAAAAGATCCCGGCAGATAAAAAAGACCAACTGAATGCCCTAATCGAAACGAATGAGATAAAAGAGATTATAAAGGAATTGAAGAGGGGAAAGGCCCCAGGACCAGATGGATTTACATCAGGTTATTATAAAGAGTTAAAAGATGTTCTGATGATACCTTTAAAAGAAGTTATGAATAATATTTTAAAGGAAAGAGACATCCCGGAAACGTGGAAAGAAGCATTCATTACACTTATCCCAAAACAGGACTCGGATTTAACCCAAGTTAAAAACTATAGGCCTATTTCATTGTTGAATACAGACTACAAAATTTTTGCAGGGATCTTAGCAAGAAGAATGAAAAAGATATTATTAGAAACTATTCATAAGGATCAAGCAGGTTTCCTTCCAGGTAGACAGATGAAGGATAATGTAAGGAACATAATTAATATTTTGGAATATCTGACTGCCAGGAATGAGAAACAAGCTATACTTATGTTTGTGGATGCAGAAAAGGCCTTTGACAACATAGCATGGGACTTTATGTTGAAAAATCTGGAGTATATGGAGGTGGGGAAAGAGTTTTTCAATGGGATAAAGGCAATATATACAGAACAGAGAGCTAAGTTGATTGTAAATAATGTGACTACGGAAGATATTAAAATATCTAAAGGAACTAGGCAGGGATGTCTGCTTTCGCCATTGCTGTTTATAATGGTCCTGGAGGTCTTCTTAAAGCGATTAGACAAAATAAATTAATAAAAGGGATAACAGTTGGCCAGAATGAATATAAAGTTAAAGCCTTTGCAGACGATCTGGTAATAACGATTGAAGAACCAATAGAAAGTGTAAAAGAACTATTAGAGGAGATTGAACAATTTGGGAAAGTGGCAGGGTTCAAATTAAATAAGAAAACTAAAATAATTGCAAAAATATGGAGCAAAGTATGATAGAAATAGTGCAACAACAATCGCGAAGTATTGGAAGACACAAGATTTACCCACCCAGGAAGAATGGCAGATGAAGTTGATGGATTATATGGAATTGGCGGAAATGACTGGCAGAATCCGAGACCAGGGAGAAGAGTTGGTGGAAGAAGATTGGAAAAAGTTTAAAGACTATTTACAGAAATACTGTAAAATTAATGAATGTTAGAAAAATGTTGGAATGAAGTTATATGGCTTTAGTAGAAATGATATAAGGAATTAAGTATAAATAGATTAATAGAGTATTAAAGGAAAAAATAAGGTTAGAATGTGTTAAGATAATTATAAGATAGAAAACAGAGGAAGATGGAAAGGAATTGCTGAAACAATTAACAGAAGTGGAATACAAAAAGGGAGGTGCGAGGAGGTCGTGGAAATTAGTGAATGAAAGATGGGATAATGAAATTGTTTGATTTATTTTACTGTTTTTGTTTTGTTTTGTTAGTTCAATGTGTTTAATGTGTCAATGTTAGGTAGTGTTTTTGTATTGTATTGTTTTTGTAGTGTTTAAATTGTTGGAAAAGTAATAAATATAATTTTTTAAAAAATAATAATAATGCAACAACAAACAGAGATAGAGGTGGTGAAAAAGGTAAAATATTTAGGAATTTGGTTAACTCCTAAAAACATTGATTTGTATCAGAACAATTACATACCGGTTTGGAACGGAATAAGGAAAGATCTGGAGGTGTGGGGTAGAATGAAACTATCTTTTTGGGGCAGAATTTCTGCGATAAAGATGAGCGTCCTTCCAAAGATGTTATTTTTGTTTCAGACTATCCCCATAATAAAGGGGGTAACGATTTTTAAAGAGTGGCAAAGAGTGATCTCAAGGTATATCTGGCAGGGCAAAAAGCCGAAAATTAAATTTAAGCTACTAACAGATGCGAAGGAAAGAGGAGGCTTTGCCCTGCCAGACCTGAAGTTATATTATGAAGCAGCATGTCTTTGCTGGTTGAAAGAATGGATAAAATTAGAAAATAAAGAGTCACTGGACTTAGAAGGCTTTGATAACAGATTTGGATGGCACGCGTACTTATGGTGTGGGAAGAAGAAAATTCACAAAGGCTTTGGGAACCACATCTTCCGGAGTGCGTTAATAGAAATATGGGATAGGTATAAACACCTATTAGAACCAAGAGTTCCACACTGGTTATCTCCGTTAGAAGTTATGAGTGTAAAGAAAATTAATATGAGAGGTAAATGGATTACATATGGTGAACTGATAATTAAAGAAGGAGGAAAATGGAAATTAAAACCATATGAACAAGTTAAAGAATATGTTTATGATTGGTTGCATTATTTTCAGGTGAATGAAATGTTTAAAAAAGATTTTAAAGAAAGTGGTTATGCAGAAAAAGATTCTAAGTTTCAAATCGACATAATAAACAATGATTGTAAAATTCTGTCAAAAATGTATAAGATATTTTTGGAATGGCATACGAAAGATGAAAAAGTGAAATCGGTAATGATACAATGGGCCAGAGATTTCGGTTATAATATACAATTTGATGATTGGGAAAAACTATGGAAAGAAAACTTAAAATTTACTGCATGCACGGCGTTAAAGGAAAATGTGATGAAAATGTTTTATAGATGGTATATAACACCAGTAAAATTGGCAAAAATGTTTAAGACGTGTAATAAGTGTTGGAAATGTAAAGAAAAAGAAGGAACGTTTTATCATATGTGGTGGGATTGTAAGAAAGTGAAAAGTTTCTGGGAGATGATATATAATGAATTGAAAAAGATATTAAAATATACGTTTGTAAAGAAACCAGAGGCTTTTCTTTTAGGGATTACAGGAAACGAGATAAGAAGAAAAGACTGTAAACTCTTCCAATATGCAGTTACAGCTGCAAGGATTTTACTGGCCCAGAAATGGAAACAAGAGGAAATGCTGACGATTGAAGATTGGAGACTGAAACTGACAGACTATGCAGAATTGGACAAGCTAACTGGGGAAATTAGATATCTTAAGGACCAAAAGTTCATCGGACTGGGGGAAATTTGTAGAATATCTGAAAAATACATGTGATGTGCAAACAACGTTAGTGATACAGTGGTGCCCCGCAAGACGAATGCCTCGCAAGACGAAAAACTCGCTAGACGAAAGAGTTTTCCGTTTTTTGAGTTGTTCCGCAAGACGAATTTCCCTATGGGCTTGCTTCGCAAGACGAAACGTCTTGCGAGTTCTTGCGAGTTTGTTTCCTTTTTCTTAAAGCCACTAAGCCGCTAAGCCGCTAATAGCCGTGCTTCGCAAGACGAAAAAACCGCAAGACGAAGAGACTCGCGGAACGGATTAATTTCGTCTTGCGAGGCACCACTGTATTTCAAGAAGCACTGTGAAATTTGAGATGTATTGTTATAAAAAATAATAGAAGTGGGAGGGAAGACTAATGACAATACTAAGGAGAAGGAATGCGTAATTAAGAGGTAAAGATGGATGATTGTCAGAGAAGCTGAAGGAAGTCCAAAAAGAGAGAATTTATTTGTTAAAAATTGGATAAAATTGTATATCTGTGTTGTAAATCGATAAAAATTATTATAAAAAAAACCACAAGTGAACAGCAGAGAACCGGCACAAGTAACGCTGACACCAAACCCTACATACATTAAGCAAAATAGAAACAGGTTCACCACACTTTCTCATCCTGGTCTTCTTCCAGCTGCCTATGGTTGTGAAGGAGATTTACAACCATCTCCACCAGATCCCCGACACCCGCACTAAGGAAGTGACGCTTTCGGCTATTGTCAGCCTAGCCACCAAGCGCCTGCAGCCGGTCGTGGACAGCCTGTTGGACTGCTCAATGGAGTGTGATGAGTAAGTTTTTGTGATGTGAAAATGGGGAGGGCTAGATTTAAGGAGTTTCTTAATTTATCTTTATTTAGATTGACTTTCGTACTTGCAAAAATTGTGCTCCAAGTTGTGGTTTCTTTCTTTGCTAATGTATGTGCAATATAAAGAAAATATCAAAGGCCTGACTTTTTTTAAGAAAAGGAAAAATGAAAAATTCTGTTTTGAAAAATTGCAGAAGTGCCGCAGTGATCTGGAAGGCGTTGGTCGCCGATCCGTATTCCAGCGTCAAGCTGCTGAGACCCCTCCTGAAAAGGCTGCAGGATGAAGACCCCAAAGCGGAAGTCCCTTCCAGGCGATGCAGCACTTCTCAAATGCCAATGGCGGTACGAAACCACTCAGTTTCTCTCTCCTGGATTGTTTTGAATGGGAGCTGGATGGGGCTGGGGGCTTCTTGCTGGGAGGGGGGTGCATCTTAATAAGTGGTCCATCCTGTGAGCACCTGCTTTGTATGCAGAAGGGCCCCAGCATCTCCATGTCGGGGGTCCCTCGCCTGAAACCCTGGACAGCCACTGCTAGTCAGTGTAGACAACACTGAGTGAGATGGACCGGGGCTCTGAGCCGCGTCTGAGTCTGAGATCTTGATCTGACGATGACCTCTGCTGAATGCCGTTCTCCTCTCCTTGTCCCTCCAGGCTACCAACGCTCTGTGTCATATCCTGTCGTTCCCTGAGGCTGCAGGTATCCTGAAGAGCAAGTTCCACCACCTGCTGTTTGCACTTAGCACTCAGATCTGTTTTGTCCATGAGGCGAGAAGAAGAGGTTCGAGAGCGACAAGTCTAATCCCGGAGCCCTCTTCGCATCTCGATCCGCTGACGTGAGGGACCTGCTAATGCATTGGGGGCCCTCCCTTCTCTCTCTGACCCATAGCAGTGATGGCTCAGCCCTCCCCCAAGAGATAGGCTTCATTTGGACATGGAGGTTCTGCTTAGGTTAGATAGCTAGGAGACCCAGGCTTCCCCAACCCCTGTGCTCTTCAGTCGCTTTGGACCACAACTCCCACCAGCCCCAGCCAGCACAACTGGGCTGAAGATGGGAGTTATTGTAGCCCAAAACATCTGAAGGACACTAGGATGGGAGAGGATGCTGGAGACTCTCCCGCACGATGGGCTGATTTGGGTGTGGTGGGACTCACGTGTCATGGAACCTTAAGTCTCCATCAGAGCCAAAAGGTTGCCGCTTGTGCTGGAAACATGGGGAGGCTGCAGGGGGTGATGGTTGGGGTTGGACTGCAAGATGTCAAGGACCTAAAACTCCCCAGATGAACCTACCCAGACCTTGTGCTCATCATCGGAAGCCCCTCTTCACGTGCCTCCTCCACACAAGAAGGGGCCTTTTCTGTGGTGGCTCCCCATTAGTGAGTTGCTCTCCCCAGGGAGGCTTGCCTGGTGCCTTTAGATGCCAGGCAAAAATGGTCCTCTTCAATCAGGCCATTGGCTGATTAACCTGTTATGCCCTTTCAACTGTGTTTGTTGGAGGGAGAGGAGTTATTGGTTTGCTTTGGTTCTTGTTTTTATTCTGTATTTTGTGCTTTTTAACTTGCATTTTTATGTTGTGAACTGCCCGGAGATCTACAGGTGAAGGGCAGTATACAAATTTTAAAAATATAATATTCTTAATTCCTTCACTTGACTCAGGATCGCTGTGCAGGCCCTGAAACAACTGATTGGGCGTGTTGAATACCTTGATGATTTTGAGGTTTTGGAGTTGCAAAGCTGCTGGGATATGCTGTCAAGTCCAGAAAGCTTTTTCCAAGGCATTCGTCTTCTGGCAAGGTAAGAAGGTGAAAAGGACTGGCAGGTGAGGCATGAAGAGCAAGGCCTGCTTTCTGGGGAAATGGGGATAAACTTCTTATTTATTTCAGAAAATGTACCATATTGTCCATTCTATAAGACGCAATTTTCCCCTCCTAAAAAGTAAGGGGAAATGTGTGTGCGTCTTATGGAGCGAATGTTCGACACCTGTTCGACAGTGGAATTTGCTGCCAAGGAGTGTGGTGGAGTCTCCTTCTTTGGAGGTCTTTAAGCAGAGGCTTGACAACCATATGCCAGGAGTGCTCTGATGGTGTTTCCTGCTTGGCAGGGGGTTGGACTCGATGGCCCTTGTGGTCTCTTCCAGCTCTATGATTCTATGATTCTATGAATGCAGGTGGGAGGCTCTGCTCAGCGTTCAAGTAACCTGGTAGTGGTGGTTGTTGTGCAGGAACGCTGAGCAGTTCTTCCTGCCAGCTTCAGGCTTGTGAATCCTTTGTTTCTTACTCTTATGTTTCAGGACCTTGTTCACATCCTCGAAAGAACAGTACAAGAGGATTGCCCGATTGGCACGGAAATATATGTGCTGTCCGAGCAACAAGAAGAGAGCCATCGGCATGGCGTTTTACTTGGAGGTAGGAACTGGAAACAGGGAATGCCTGTTCTAATGTTTCTAATGGTTTCTTTATTCCTCGCAATTTAACTGTCAAATGTTCTTTAGCATTTACACATTTTTTATTTAATTGTACAACTTCAGCTGCATTCACTTCTATCATGTCTAATATATATGGACAATGTTTTTTTTGATAGAAGATAAATGTATACATAATAAAAGATGCACTTACAGTGGCTTTGCTCCAACTTAGGGATGTCCGACTCCGATACGGACACGTCCGAGACCTAGCGCGCAAGTTACTGCAGGCAGCAATCATACAGGTATTCCGTTAATGGATGGACAAGTCTTCACCTTTGGAAGGCTAAGATTTTTCTTAAAATTACATTTTTATATGTACTATTGGAAACATCTTAAAGCTGGTATAAGTTCATATGTATTTATTTTTGCCTGCTTTAAAGATTGATTTCTGTGTGTCTGCTGGTTTATTATATATCATTTTTTCTCTTTGTTCCGCTATGTATCGGGGTGGGGAGACATCATCATCATCATCATCATCATCATCCTTTGCTCATCCAAATAAGCTGTTTTCATTTATTTATTGAGGCCACTAAGTCTTTGAACGGAAGAGATTTCTCCAGTTTCAAGCCTCATCTCATGCTGTTTATGAGCCAAGTCCAAACCCTCTGCAGTTCAGACCCAGCTTACGATGTGTTTGCTTCAGCATGATTCCAACCAGCTCATACTCCTTCCTTCCCTTTCCCACCAAAATGTACCTGACTGTGAGAGGAGAGGCGAATTAGATTGGGAGGGCCATGCCCAGCCCTAGAGGTTGGAATGCGGGGTCCAGGCCCTCCAGAAACCAGCGGAGAACTCCATAGTTCCAAATGGAAGCACCAGCCTAGCTTCTGCTGTGGCCAGATTGAGATGAGAAGGGGCAGGAGGGGTCATGCGTGGCTGGGTGCTTCTTGGTGGAGACCATTGAACTGAAGTGAGCTGCTTTGGGGGCCAACCTGAATCAATCCCAGAATAACCTGTTCAAGAGGTGCTTTTTAGAAACTGAGCTCACAGTCCAACTGTAAAACCATGACATTATATGCTTATGAAATACGTGATATTTACTGTCTGATAAGGGGGGGGGCAGCTCTATAACTTCCATGGGTCACAACAAGCCAGGGGGTCAAAACAAGGCACCACCTTCTCAGGTGAATATCAGGCTTGAGTCCATAAATGTTGCTCGACTTTATCTGGTGTCACTTAGGCTCTGCCAGTTAGACCACCTGTGCTGCTGCCGCTGCCAAATCTAGCTGTCAAAGCCTCAATGACCTGCGCTGCTGCCACTGCCTCTTCTGGCTGCTAAAGCCTCAACGACCTGCGCTGCTGCCACTGCCTCTTCTGGCTGTCAAAGCATCGATGACCTGCCTGCTGCCGCAGCCCCCTCTGCCTCTCAAAGCCTCGACAACCTACTCTGCTGCCGCAGCCCTTTCTGGCTGTCAAAGCCTCAATGACCTGCACTGCTGCCGCAGCCCCTTCTGGCTATCAAAGCCTCGATGACCTGTGCTGCTTCCACTGCCTCTTCTGGCTGTCAAAGCCTCGATGACCTGCGCTGCTGCCGCAGCCCCTTCTGGCTGTCAAAGCCTCGATGACCTGCTCTCCTCCCACTGCCCCTTCTGGCTGTCAAAGCCTCGACGACCTGCTCTGCTGCCACAGCGCCTTCTGGCTGTCAAAGCCTCGATAACCTGCGCTGCTGCAGCAGCCACTTCTGGCTGTCAAAGCCTCAACGACCTGCGCTGCTGCCGCTGCCTCTTCTGGCTGTCAAAGCCTCAACGACCTGCACTGCTGCCGCTACCCCTTCTGGCTGTCAAAGCCTCGACGACCTGCTCTGCTGCCACTGCCCCTTCTGGTTGTCAAAGCGTTGACGACGTGTGCTGCTGCCACTGCCTCTTCTGGCTGTCAAAGCCTCCACGACCTGCTATGCTGCCACTGCCCCTTCTGGCTGTCAAAGCCTCCACGATCTGCTATGCTGCCACTGCCCCTGCTGGCTGTCAAAGCCTCGATGACCTGCGCTGCTGCCGCAGCCCCTTCTGGCTGTCGAAGCCTCAACGACCTGCGCTGCTGCCACTGCCTCTTCTGGCTGTCAAAGCCTCGATGACCTGCTCTGCTACCACTGCCCCTTCTGGCTGTGAAAGCCTCGACGACCTGCTCTGCTGCCACAGCCCCTTCTGGCTGTCAAAGGCTCGATGACCTGCGCTGCTGCCACTGCCTCTTCTGGCTGTCAAAGCCTCAACGACCAGCACTGCTGCCACTGCCTCTTCTGGTTGTCAAAGCCTCAACAACCTGCGCTGCTGCCGCTGCCCCTCCTGGCTGTCAAAGCCTCGACGACCTGCTCTGCTGCCACTGCCCCTTCTGGCTGTCAAAGCCTCGATGACCTGCGCTGCTGCCACTGCCTCTTCTGGCTGTCAAAGCCTCCACGACCTGCGCTGCTGCCACTGCCCCTTCTGGCTGTCAAAGCCTCGATGACCTGCGCTGCTGCAGCAGCCACATCTGGCTGTCAAAGCCTCAACGGCCTGCGCTGCTGCCACTGCCTATTCTGGCTGTCAAAGCCTCAACGACTTGCGCTGCTGCCCCTGCCTCTTCTGGCTGTCAAAGCCTCGATGACCTGCGCTGCTGCAGCAGCCCCTTCTGGCTGTCAAAGCCTCGATGACCTGTGCTGCTGCCCCTGCCTCTTCTGGCTGTCAAAGCCTAGACGACCTGCCCTGCTGCCACTGCCCCTTCTGGCTGTCAAAGCCTCGACGACCTCTGCTGCTTCTACTTCCACTTCTGGGTGTCAAAGCCTTGACGACCTGCTACACTGCCGCTGCCTCTTCTCGCTGTCAAAGCCTCGACGACCTGCGCTGCTCCCTCTGCCTCTTCTGGCTGTCAAAGCCTCAACAACCTGCGCTGCTGCCGCTGCCCCTTCTGGCTGTCAAAGCCTCGATGACCTGCTCTCCTCCCACTGCCCCTTCTGGCTGTCAAAGCCTCGACGACCTGCGCTGCTGCCGCTGCCCCTTCTGGCTGTCAAAGCCTTGATGACCTGCGCTGCTGCCTCTGCCTCTTCTGGCTGTCAAAGCCTCGATGACCTGCGCTGCTGCCTCTGCCTCTTCTGGCTGTCAAAGCCTTGATGACCTGCGCTGCTGCCTCTGCCTCTTCTGGCTGTCAGTGCCTCGACGACCTCCGCTGCTGCCTCTGCCTCTTCTGGCTGTCAAAGCCTCGACGACCTGCGCTGCTGCCTCTGCCTGTTCTGGCTGTCAAAGCCTCAACGACCTGCGCTTCTGCCGCTGACCCTTCTGGCTGTCAAAGCCTCGAGGACCTGCGCTGCTGCCACTGCCCCTTCTGGCTGTCAAAGCCTCGATGACCTGCGCTGCTGCCTCTGCCTCTTCTGGCTGTCAAAGCCTCGATGACCTGCGCTGCTGCCTCTGCCTCTTCTGGCTGTCAGTGCCTCGACGACCTCTGCTGCTGCCTCTGCCTCTTCTGGCTGTCAAAGCCTCGATGATCTGCGCTGCTGCAGCAGCCACTTCTGGCTGTCAAAGCCTCGATGACCTGGGCTGCTGCTGGAGCCCCTTCTGGCTGTCAAAGCCTCGATGACCTGTGCTGCTGCCCCTGCCTCTTCTGGCTGTCAAAGCCTCAACGGCATGCGCTGCTGCCACTGCCCCTACTGGCTGTCAAAGCCTTGAAGACCTGTGCTGCTGACACTGCCTCTTCTGGCTGTCAAAGCCTTGACGACCTGCTACACTGCCGCAGCCTCTTCTCGCTGTCAAAGCCTCGACGACCTGCGCTGCTACCTCTGCCTCCTCTGGCTGTCAAAGCCTCAACAACCTGCGCTGCTGCCGCTGCCCCTTCTGGCTGTCAAAGCCTCGATGACCTGCTCTGCTGCCACAGCCCCTTCTGGCTGTCAAAGCCTTGAAGACCTGTGCTGCTGACACTGCCTCTTCTGGCTGTCAAAGCCTTGACGACCTGCTACACTGCCACTGCCCCTTCTGGCTGTCAAAGCCTCGATGACCTGCGCTGCTGCCTCTGCCTCTTCTGGCTGTCAAAGCCTCGATGACTTGCGCTGCTGCCTCTGCCTCTTCTGGCTGTCAGTGCCTCGACGACCTCTGCTGCTGCCTCTACCTCTTCTGGCTGTCAAAGCCTCGACGACCTGCGCTGCTGCCTCTGCCTCTTCTGGCTGTCAAAGCCTCGATGACCTGTGCTTCTGCCGCTGACCCTTCTGCCTGTCAAAGCCTTGATGACCTGCGCTGCTGCCACAGCCCCTTCTGACTGTCAAAGCCTCGATGACCTGCGCTGCTGCCTCTGCCTCTTCTGGCTGTCAAAGCCTCGACGACCTGCGCTGCTGCCGCTGCCTCTTCTGGCTGTCAAAGCCTCGATGACCTGCGCTGCTGCCTCTGCCTCTTCTGGCTGTCAAAGCCTCGATGACCTGCGCTGCTGCCTCTGCCTCTTCTGGCTGTCAGTGCCTCGACGACCTCTGCTGCTGCCTCTGCCTCTTCTGGCTGTCAAAGCCTCGACGACCTGCGCTGCTGCCTCTGCCTCTTCTGGCTGTCAAAGCCTTGACGACCTGCACTGCTGCCTCTGCCTCTTCTGGCTGTCAAAGCCTTGGTGACCTGCCCTGCTGCCTCTGCCTCTTCTGGCTGTCAAAGCCTCGACGACATGCGCTGCTGCCACTGCCTCTTCTGGCTGTCAAAGCCTCGATAACCTGCGCTGCTGCAGCAGCCTCTTCTGGCTGTCAAAGCCTTGATGACCTGCGCTGCTGCCACAGCCCCTTCTGGCTGTCAAAGCCTTGGTGACCTGCGCTGCTGCCACAGCCCCTTCTGGCTGTCAAAGCCTCAATGACTTGCGCTGCTGACTCTGCCTCTTCTGGCTGTCAAAGCCTCGATGACTTGCGCTGCTGCCTCTGCCTCTTCTGGCTGTCAATGCCTCGACGACCTGCGCTGCTGCCTCTGCCTCCTCTGCTCGATGACCTGTGCTGTTGCCGCAGCACCTTCTGGCTTCAAACTTCAGACTTCAGTTTCCAGACTTCAGTTATCAACCTGGTAAGAAACAAAATAAAAAAAATCCTTCCAGTAGCTCCTTAGAGACCAACTCAGCTTGTTATTGGTATGAGCTTTCGTGTGCATGCACGCTTCTTCAGATACAAAGTACAGTGGTACCTCGGGTTAAGTACTTAATTCGTTCCAGAGGTCTGTTCTTAACCTGAAATTGTTCTTACCCTGAAGCACCACTTTAGCTAATGGGGCCTCCTGCTGCTGCCGCGCCGCCGGAGCACGATTTCTGTTCTCATCCTGAAGCAAAGTTCTTAACCTGAAGCACTATTTCTGGGTTAGCGGAGTCTGTAACCTGAGGTACCACTGAATCAACCTGGTAAGAGTTTTGGATGTGCATGTGGCTAACTCCCACAATCCTCCCTGCGACTTGCACCCACAACACTCCAATATTTGCTGATCAGGGACATTATATGTGCCCTTGAATGTGGTATAGATTTTTATCCTTGAAAAGGTGGGCAGGGGCAAGAGACTTTTATTGATTTGAGATCTTTCCTTAGCAGTCCCAATCGTTGGGCAGAAAATATTGAATTGCAAGTAAGCCCTCCTTACAACACATTTACCTGTGTTATGTTACAAAAACAGGGCAGATATGATATATTGAAAAACAGGGCTTCAAATGCAGTACTTAAACTACTATTTAGTTAAGAGTTGTACAGGTCTGTGGAAATGTAAAGAAACTGAAGGTACATTCTTTCACCTTTGGTGGACGTGCCCAAGGATTAAGGTTTTCTGGGAGATGATTTATAATGAATTAAAAAGGTATTCAAATATACCTTCTTGAAGAAACCAGAGGCCTTTCTCCTGGGCATAGTCGGCCAATCGGTGTTAAAGAAGGACAGAACTTTCTTTATGTATGCTACAACAGCAGCAAGAATACTTATTGCAAAGCATTGGAAGACACAAGACCTACCCACACTGGAAGAATGGCAGATGAAAATGATGGACTACATGGAACTGGCGGAAATGACTGGCAGAATCCGAGACCAGGGAGAAGAGTCGGTGGAAGAAGATTGGAAGAAATTTAAAGACTATTTACAGAAATATTGCAAAATTAATGAATGTTAGAATGATGTTGGATTGAAGTTAAGTGGTTTCTAGCTGTAATGGTATAAAAGAATATGGAAAAATTGGATTTTCAATACGTAAAAACCTAATGCTATAATATATTAAGATTAAAGATCAGGATAAAATAAGGAGGGAAAGGAATTGCTGAACTAATAAATTGAACTGGAATACAAAAAAGGGAGGCATGAGGAGGTCCGGGAAACAAGTAAATGAAAGATAAGTGATGAAAAGATGGAATTGTTTTTAATTGTTTTTATTTGTATTTTGTATTTTTCTTTTCTCTATTTTTCTTTTTCTTATCTATGTAACCTTTTTTTGAAACTTTAACAAATATCATTTTTTAAAAAAAGAGTTGTATAGGTCTGTAGCACTCCTAGGTATCTTGATTTCTGTACAAAAAAACCAACCCTTAGTGGCACACAGAACTGGAAGTGTGGTTGTATCTAGATCTCTTCAGAGGAAAGCTGTTGTAAAAACAGGGTTGCACTATGCAAATTCTGAAATAAAAGCACTGTGCTGTAGTTTATTGATGCTGTGTTGAAGGCAAACATTGTTGTTTATCTCTGTTGTTTATCTTTTAGATAACATCAAATATTTGTGAGAAATTGAAGACTAGGAGCGCTTCTTTGCAGATTGGGTTTGTAAAGAAGGTATACTGACAACTTAAAGGTATCTGGCAAATACTTACACTGAATGAGCAGGAATGACAGTTGCATATTGGAAGCTTTCTATTGTGATTGATGCATGCACATTCTTTAAAGTGACGGAGAAGATTATATGTTAGAAATAATACTTACACAAATAAGCGTTATTTCTAACATAATCCTAACGCTTACACAAATAAGTGCATTCATTTTGAATGCTCATTGCATTCACCACTTGCTTCTGACCTGCTAATTTCATTTTCATTGCTTTTTGCATAATTCATATATCACAATAATAATAAAAGTGTATGTTGCAAAGTGCACTCTGGGACAATATTTTGATGTTGTTTTAGGTGTGGAAAATCTGCTCTATAAGCTCTTATTCCATTTTTTTGATTAAATATCATCTAAAATTTCCACAACTTACTCTAACAAATGTTGTATTTTTAAATATGTACAAAATTGATATATTTCATTGACCCATTTGAACAAAAAGGTCATCAGCCACCTTATTTGTGTAAGTACTGGATTTATTTACAAGGTCAAAACAGCCCCACTTGTGAGTGGAAAATGCTTCTGATGGGTAGAGGAGAGGGATTTCCCATTTTTTTATTTTCAATCTCAACTCTTTGTACCTTCTCAGTCCTGCTCGGAAGGGTCCCCTGAACTTCAAGAGCATTTCCCCCCCAAACCCGGGGATGAGAGACCTCAGTGCCTGCATGGAATATGATGCATGTCTGCAAGGATCTCATCCAAAAGGGATGTGCTGGACAATTCCTTTTTTGCCAAAAAAGGTCTTCAAACTAATCTGGCCACTTTTCCTTAGAAAAACATGTATTTAGAGAGAAATGTTGTATGACCTGAACATGACCCCAGTTGTAACAAAATGAAGATTGACTTAAACTGCCAAATTCCTTATTATATGTGTTACTCATTTTTAAAGCTGGTTAAAGTGTTTGGTATGTTTTCCCATCTGTTTAATGTCATTCCTTAAAAATAAATGAGGAAATGGCTGATCTAAATAACAGTCTTTCTTCCAAATATATTAGACTAGTACAAAAACCCACCACAAGGTACCAAAATCAACATATTTTAATGTGTGCATCCTTTATCCATCTTAATGTGGTAAGTACATTTCTTTTATTTTCAAATAGATAATTTTTTTAGAGTACTCTGTGTTTCACATGCTGATGTGTTTTGTTGCTGTGGTTTTGGTCACATGGCGTTTTGTGCTTTCCAAAGATTTCTGAGTACTGATAAGCTACATTTTAAACCTTTCCAGTTGCAAATAGGATCAGTCAGGACCAGTCTCTTGTGTACAAGTATTTTGGGCCTTGTGGAGTATGAGCCATCTAACCTTCAAATTGGTGGTTTTCAGCCTTTCAAGGATACTATTTCCACACTGACATCTGCTGAGCAATTGCTTCGCGCTGCTGGAGACTCTGACGTGTTCTGGCGCTCACGCTTAGCATGCATTGCTCCTTACCAATCCTGTTCGATCCCACCATCGAGCTGCAGGAATTGAGGGCCCCTCCCTAGAACACATGCACACTTTCCTGGAGCTGCACACAGCAGCAGAAAACTGGCAGTGACTGGCAAGCTATTCTTTGGCAAGCTTGCCTACCTGGAAGAATTGGTTAACAAACTTCGGAATACTGTAGCATCTTTGTTCGCCAAAGTGCAGAGAATATGCAGCCTTCATTCATTTAGGTCTCCATACTTAGCTGGTAATATCAATTTACGTTCTGCAGAAGAAGGCTCATATGGGATGCTGTATAGCTTGGTACTGAATGTCTCCAGCAGTTGCATAAATAGCCTCTATTTTTTTTTTTTAATGATATTTATTGAGAATTTTAAAGTTACAAAGAAAAAAGAAGGAAAAAATAAGAAAAAGAGAAAAAGAAAGAAAAGAATAGATAAAAATAACAATTAAACAATACAAATCAATAAAAACCAAAATCAAAAAGAAAAAACAAAACACACAATACAACAATCAAAAAACAAAAATATACAACATATTTAAAAACAAATCCAATTTTCCCAAATCCTTAACTTTCATTAACTTATTTCAT